GGAAGACAGTATGGCAATTCCTCCAAGACCTACAACTTGAAATACCATCTGACCCAGCAATCCCATTACTGGGTATATACCCAAAGAAATATAAATCATTCTATTATACAGATATGTGGATGTGGATGTTCATTGCAGCACTATTTACAATAACAAAGACATGGAATCAACCCACATGCCCATCAATGGCAGACTGGATAAAGAAAATGTGGTACATATGGAATACTATACAACCATAAAAAAAGAATAAGATCAGGCAGGTGCGGTGGCTCATGCCTGTAATCCCAGCACTTTGGGAGGCCAAGGCGGGTGGATCACGAGGTCAAGAGATCGAGACCATCCTGGTCAACATGGTGAAACCCCGTCTCTACTAAAAATACAAAAAATTAGCTGGGCACGGTGGCACGTGCCTGTAATCCCAGGTACTCGGGAGGCTGAGGCAGGAGAATTGCCTGAACCCAGGAGGTGGAGGTTGCGGTGAGCCAAGATCACTCCATTGCACTCCAGCCTGGGTAACAAGAGTGAAACTCTGTCTCAAAAAAAAATGATCTGGGAGTGGTGGCATGTGTCTGTGTCCTAGTTATTCAGGAGGCTGAGGCAGGAGAATCACTTGAGACTGGGAGGCAGAGGTTGGAGTGAGCCAAGATCATGCCACTGCTCTCCATCCTGGCAACAGAGCGAGACTCTGTCTCAAAAAAATAAATAAATAAAAATAAACAACATGTAAAATTAGTAATTTATAGAGAAAAACATAAAATAACAATGAAAATGAAATAGTGTCATATTCATTACAATGGCCACTATGAATTATTTAAAAATACCAAATCTGTTAATGCAATGAAAGTAAAACCTAGTGAGCCGGCGCGGTGGTTCACGACTGTAATCCCAGCACTTTGGGAGGCCGAGGCAGGTGGATCACGAGGTCAAGAGATCGAGGCCATCCTGGTCAACATGGTGAAACCCTGTCTCTACTAAAAATACAAAAAATTAGCTGGGCATGGTGGCGCGTGCCTGTAATACCAGCTACTCAGGAGGCTGAGGCAGGAGAATTGCCTGAACCCAGGAGGCGGAGGTTGCGGTGAGCCGAGATCGCGCCATTGCACTCCAGCCTGGGTAACAAGAGCGAAACTCTGTCTCAAAAAAAAAAAAAAGAAAGCAAAACCTATAATAACTGTTGGTAAAAGCCAACATGTAGTCATTATTTTTAAATATTATATATGTTTTTCAAATAATTAAAAATGGAATTATCATCAAATACCGCAATCCTGTTTATGAATTTGTATTCAAAATATGCAACACATGACCTGGGAGACATACTCGAACATCCACACTTGATGTACTAGTATTCACGAAAGCTAAAAGGCTGAAGCAGGGCCGGGCGCGGTGGCTCACCCCTGTAATCCCAGCACTTTGGGAGGCCGAGGCGGGTGGATCACGAGGTCAACAGATCGAGACCATCCTGATCAACATGGTGAAACCCCGTCTCTACTAAAAATTCAAAAATTAGCTGGGCATGGTGGCGTGTGCCTGTAATCCCAGCTACTCAGGAGGCTGAGGCAGGAGAATTGCCTGAACCCAGGAGGTGGAGGTTGCGGTGAGCCGAGATCGCGCCATTGCACTCCAGCCTGGGTAACAAGAGCAAAATTCCGTCTCAAAAAAAAAAAAAGAAAGAAAGAAATCACTTTACTAATATACTGCATGTATTGTAGGTCGAATCCCAAAAAGAGATGCAATTAGATTAAAAAGCATAGGTAAGAATTCTATTTTTTTCTTCCCATAAGGTATCCAGAGCACACACTTTAATTCACGCCACACACTCTCTAATTACTACTGCATACTATATAGGAGTGTATCTGCTAATTATCGAATTTTTTTTCTCTAAGGAAGCTTTTCAGGTAATTGATGCTGAGTCTGGAGAAAAGAACAATGGTTCCCATAAACAGGGTTGAAAAACAAAATATAATACACTTGGTTCAATTTGAATTTCAGATAAATTATAAATTGTTATTTGTATAAATATATTCCAATAATTACTTACACATATGATACACAAATATGCAAATATTGCATAGCCGTACTAAAAAGTTCTTGTTGTGTATTCCAAATTTAAATGTAACTGGGTTTTTTTTTTGTATTTTTATTTGGTGAATCAGCCAAACCCACCACAAAAAAACATTGTATAATTTGGAGCAACATGTTACAAACATGGAAAAATGCAATTAAAAAAAACAACAAAATAAAAAATGATAGAGCACTTAATCTGTAGGCTGCTTTAAGCAGCATAGACATTTTAATTATATTCATTCTTCAAATTCCTTTCTGTTTTTTTTTTTTTTTAAGACGAAGTTTCGCTCTTGTTACCCAGGCTGGAGTGCAATGGCGCGATCTCGGCTCACCGCAACCTCCGCCTCCTGGGTTCAGGCAATTCTCCCTCAGCCTCCCCAGTAGCTGGGACTACAGGCGCGCGCCACCATGGCCAGCTAATTTTTATATTTTTAGTAGAGACGGGGTTTCACCTTGTTGACCAGGATGGTATCGATCTCTTGACCTCATGATCCACCCGCCTCAGCCTCCCAAAGTGCTGGGATTACAGGCGTGAGCCACCGTGCCCGGCCCTAATTTTCTTAATTTACATTGTCTCATTTCTTTTTTTTTTTTTTGAGATGGAGTTTCGCTCTTGTTACCCAGACTGGAATGCAATGGCGCGATCTTGGCTCACCGCAACCTCTGCCTCCTGGGTTCAAGCAATTCTCCTTCCTCGGCCTCCCGAGTAGCTGGGATTACAGGCGCGCACCACCATGCCCAGCTAACTTTTGTATTTTTAGTAGAGACGGGGTTTCACCTTGTTGACCAGGATGGTCTCGATTTCTTGACCTCGTGATCCACCCGCCTTGGCCTCCCAAAGTGCTGGGATTACAGGCTTGAGCCACCGCGCCCGGCCAACCCCCTATGATTTAATCTCTGCCCCAACCACTGATCATACAGCAATCATCTGTTACACCCCGTTCCCCAGATTGCCCATGAAAAACCCCTATTAGCTTTGTGAGGTTTTTTTTTTTTTTTTTTTTTTGAGACACCATTTCACTCTGTCACCCAGGCTGGAGTGCAGTGGTGCGATCACGGCTCACTGCAACCTTGGCGTGATCAATACTGCGCAAAGCCCTTTTCAACAGACAGCACAAACCCTATCCTATAAAACCTCTAGCAAGCCTTTGTTTCTTTCTGCTGGCTGGCCACTGTCTTCCTAGCAATGTACTTTCCTACTTCCCCACCCCACCCCCCGCCTTTTTTTTTTTGAGGAGTCGTCTCGCTATCCCACCCAGGCTGGAGTGCAGTGATGTGATCTCGGCTCACTGCAACCTCCGCCTCCTGGGTTCATGCGATTTTCCTGCCTCAGCTTCCAGAGTAGCTGAGATGATAGGCACCTGCCACCACCCCCTGCTAATGTTTTGTATTTTTAGTAGAGACAGGGTTTCACCATTGTTGGCCAGGCTGGTCTTGAACTCCTGACCTCCACTCACCTTGGTCTCCCAAAGTAATGAGGAGTGAGCCACCGTGCCTGGCATATAAAGTTTTTTTCTTCCTTCTTCATCTTCCTCTCCTACTTTTTTCCAGGCAACTTTAGGAGGACCCTCTATACCATCAAACTTTACTTTAGACTTATAGTTAGCAATATCCTTCTTGTATGTTTCTTAATTTCTTTCTTTTTTTTTGAGGCAGTCTCACTCTGTCACCCAGGCTGGAGTGCAGTGGCGTGATCTCGGTTCACTGAAACCTCTGCTTCCCAGGTTCAAGTGATTCTCCTGCCTCAGCCTCCTAGTAGCTGGGATTACAGATGCCCACCACCACACCCAGTTAATTTTTGTGTTTTTATAGAGACGAGGTTTCATCATGTTGGCCATGTTGGTCTCCAACTCCTGACCTCAAGTGATCCTCCCACCTCAGCCTCCCTGTTACCATTACCAGGAGAGTCCTGATGAAATAACTGGGAGTTTTTTTAGTCCAAAAAAAAAAAAAAAAGAAAAAGAAAAGAAAAAAGCTCAGCTGCTTAAAGATTTCCAGACAGCCAGGGATGACATCACAGAGCTTCTTGACCCCTGACCAGATACCAAGAGGAAGATAAGACCTCTAAATCGGTACAAACTAGAACAGACGACCTCTGGTTGACTTTAGATCACGAATTTTATCATTACAATGCTAAAATTCCCTCTCTTAAAAGAAAATCTCCATTTTGTGCACATGGTTTGTATGAAGACATATGTTCATGAATTGAGCCTGCGTGTCTCGAGTCCCACCATGCATATGTTAACATTCCTCTCCCTTCCTGTACTCAGGGAAGGAAACAATAAAACGTTATGCTTTTTATTGTTGAGGGAGAAGGGGCAGTTAGAGCGAGAGCCTCTCCTTCTCCATCCCTGTCCAGTGAGTGAAACCCGACTGCCTTTTCCGATTGGATGTTCCTTCTTTGCCAGCTACACAAAGTGGGGAAAGAACTGGATTTGCTGTTGGTATCCCAAGTAGCTGGGACTACAGGCAGTAAATGCTTTTATACCTCGTTTTTTAAAACGTATTGTTCCTGTCAACAAGCCTTCAAGTTATACCCAAGATTTCATGGCTCATGATGGTCCATAGTTTTCGCTCTTTAAATCAATAGCTGCATATCCTACGACGATTTTCCTTTGGGATGATTTCCCAGAACTGGAATTGCAGATTCTTCACAAATCTCCCAACTTTTCCGGTAAACGCCGAGCTTTTCTCTAGATTAACAACTGAGGCCGCAAGCAATTCTGGGGAACGTAGAGCAGATTTGCAGAGAACGAGTCCCTTGGTCCTGTGTCGTAGAATTTCCGGCGGAAGTTGCTGGGCGTGGAAAGCCAGCAAGCCCTTTTTCCGCAATCGTCGCTCCCGCGCGCACGTGGGCGACGCATGGGGGCGAGGCCCCGCCTCCCCACGCCATTGGCCAGCAGCTCCTCGGGCACGCGTATACTGCGCTTCCGGGCAAGCTTCGCCCCGCATGGCCTTCTGGGAGTTGTAGTTCGATCGCGAGCACTGCCGTCGGGAGGCTGCTCTGAGGGCTGAGGCTGAACTCCGCGACCCCGCCTTCGGCGCTCGGCTCTCAGGATGGATCCCGTACCCGGGACCGACTCGGCGCCGCTGGCCGGCCTGGCCTGGTCGTCGGCCTCTGCACCCCCGCCTCGGGGGTTCAGCGCGGTGAGCGGCGTCGAGGGGCTGGGGGTCGAATGGGGGCAGAGGCAGACGCTGTGGGGTGGGTGGGAGTCCGGCGCTGACCCGCATCCTCCCCGTAGATCTCCTGCACCGTCGAGGGGGCACCCGCCAACTTTGGCAAGACCTTCGCGCAGAAATCTGGCTACTTCCTGTGCCTTAGTACTCTGGGCAGCCTAGAGGTAAGGGGTGACTACCTTCGGGACCACCAGGGTCCGCCCACCTCCTGTGGGGCCATGATGCCCTTTGCCAGGCGCGCTGTTTCCGCTGCTGGGCCACCCTCGCCGTGTTCCTCTTCCACTCGCAGAACCCGCTGGAGAACGTGGTGGGCGATATCCAGATCGTGGTGGACAAGAGCCCCCTGCCGCTGGGCTTCTCCCCGGTCAGCGACCCCATGGACTCCAGTAAGGCCTGCGTGGGAGGCGAGAGTTGTCTGGGTCCCTGCAGGGAGGAGCGGGGAGGAGGGACGACGGGCGCGCGGAATCTGAGCCTCGGCGGCCCCCTGGCACTCGGGGTGATGACAGGGTTGACTGAGGACTCAGAGCCCAGCGCTAGGGTGGACCTACATCCCACGTCCGGATTCAAAGTGTGTGATGTGATTGGCACAGCCTCTATTCCCGAGTTAAGAGTTCAGTCCACGCCACCTGTTTTATTGCTGTTGTGCTACCTGTGTCTCTTTACACCACGGCCCAGCAAAACCACTGCGCTGTTCTCTTTCATTTCCAGCCTTTGCACACGCCATTTCCTCTGCCTGGAGCACGTTTTCTCTCCTCTTTGCAGCTCGTTCTTTGTTCTCCCTCAAGTGTTAGTTACCTCACCCTTCTTTTCCGGGGCCCACAACCCTAGTGCGGCCCTCCCAGCCCCACCGAACTTTCCCACCCTTTCTTGTCATTTTTTTTTTGAGACGGAGTTTCGCTCTTGTTACCCAGGCTGGAGTGCAATGGCGCGATCTCGGCTCACCGCAACCTCCGCCTCCTGGGTTCAGGCAATTCTCCTGCCTCAGCCTCCTGAGTAGCTGGGATTACAGGCGTGCACCACCATGCCCAGGTAATTTTTTGTATTTTTAGTAGAGACGGGGTTTCACCATGTTGACCAGGATGGTCTCGATCTGTTGACCTCATGATCCACCCGCCTGGGCCTCCCAAAGTCCTGGGATTACAGGCATGAGCCACCGTGCCCGGCCTTTCTTGTCATTTTTATTTGATTCAGGCTCTATTCATTCATAGTAGAGTTGGCAAACTTTTTTTTCTTTATTTTTTCTTAGAGTTGGCAAACTTCTTTTTAAATTTTTTTCTATATATATATACGTATATATACACATATATATACGTATATATATGTATAGAGAAAAATGTATGTATGTATATATGTATGTATGTATATATATATATATATATATATATATATATATATACACATTTTTAAGAGATGGAGTTTCACCATGTTGGCCAGGATGGTCTCGATCTCCTGACCTTGTGATCCACCCACCTCAGCCTCCCAAAGTGCTGGGATTATAGGCATGAGCCACCCAGCCTAGCCTAGAGTTGGCAAACTTTCATGTAAAGGGCCCAGTAGTAAATATTTTAGGTTTTACAGGATATTCTTTTTTTTTTTTTTTTAACAATTCCTTAAAAATGTAAAAATCATTCTTAACTCATGAGCTGTATGAAACCAGGCCTTAGGCTGGGTGCGGTGGCTCACGCCTGTAATTCCAGTACTTTGGGAGGCTGAGGCAGGTGGATCACTTGAGGGCAGGAGTTCCAGACCAGCCTGGCCAACATGGTGAAACCCCGTCTCTACTAAAAATACAAAATTAGGCTGGGCTCAGTGGCTCACTCCTGTAATCCTAGCACTTTTGGAGGCCAAAGCGGGTGGATCACAAGGTCGCGAGTTTGAGACCAGCCTGGCCAATGTGGTGGAACCCCGTCTCTACTAAAAATACAAAAATTAGCCGGGTGTGGTGGTGGACATCTCTAATCTCTGCTACTCGGGAGGCTGAGGCAGGAGAATCACTTGAACCCAGGAGGCAGAGGTTGCAGTGAGTTGAGATTGTGCCACTGCACTCCAGCCTGGACGACAGTGTTAGACTCCTTCTCAAACCAATAAAATAAAATAAAAATACAAAATTAGCTGGGCGTGGTGGGGGGGGGGGGGGCGCCTGTAGTCCCAGCTACTCAGGATGCTGAGGCAGGAGAATCATTTGAACCCCAGAGGTGGAGGTTGCAGTAAGCCGAGATCGCACCACTACACTCCAGCCTGAGTGTCAGAGTGAAACTCTATCTTTAAAAAAAAAAAGAAAGAAAAGAAAGAAAGAATAAGAAAACAAGGCTTGAGCCAGATTTGGCTCATGGGTGCTAGTTGGCCAACCTCTATAGGATTAGGGAACTCAGGGAAAGTAAGGTTTGAGGGCCAGGAAGGGCACCCAGCTTTGTCTGAGTCCACAGCTAGCCCCTCCATGAATGCACCTCCATATCGCCAAAGATCAGCCTGCTCCAGTGGCCCCTAAAAGCTGCCTGGAATCCCCTCCTTCGTCTGTACCACTGATGATTTGACCACTTCTCCCAACCTCCATCCCTAATGCTGCCCATGTGGCTGCCTTAAACAGCAGCCTGGCGAGCCTCATTACAGTCATCTTTGGGTACTCCCACCCTTTCCTGGCTTCCATCTCTCACTCCAATGCCACCCCCATCAGAGGCCTCTGTGTCCAAGAAGAAACGCATGTGTGTGAAGTTGTTACCCCTGGGGGCCGCGGACACCGCCGTGTTTGATGTCCGGCTGAGTGGGAAGACAAAGACAGTGCCTGGATACCTTCGAGTAGGGTAGGCCACCCCCTAGTGTCTACTCACGTTTCCTGCCCTCCCAACTTGTGATCTCACCCATCTGACCCCTGTGGTCTCTTCTGCTACCTTCCTTTTTTTTTTTTCTTAGATGGAGTCTGGCTCTGTCGCCCAGGCTGGAGTGCAGTGGCATGATCTTGGCTCACTGCAACCTCCACCTCCTGGGTTCAAGCAATTGCCCTGCCTCAACCTCCCAAGTAGCTGGGACTATAGGCGTGCACCCAGCTAATTTTTTTTTGTATTTTTAGTAGAGATAGGGTTTCACCTTGTTGGCCAGGATGGTCTTGATCTCCTGACCTCATGATCCACCCGCCTCAGGCTCCCAAAGTGCTGGGATTATAGGTGAGCCACCACTCTTGGCTCTTTTGGCCACCTTCTGAACCTCAGATTCTGCATGTTAAAACAGGGACATGGCCGGTTGTGGTGGCTCACGCCTGTAATCCCAGCACTTTGGGAGGCCGGGGCGGGCAGATCACAAGGTCAGGATTTTGAGACCAACCTGGCCAGTATGATGAAACCCCGTCTTTACTAAAAATAGAAAAAAATTAGCCAGGCGTGGTGGTAGACACCTGTAGTCCCAGCTACTTGGGGGACTGAGGCAGGAGAATCACCTGAACCCGGGAGGTGGAGGTTGCAGTGAGCCAAGATCATGCCACTGCATTCCAGCCTGGGCAATGGAGTGAGACTCCATCTCAAAACAAACAAACAAACAAAATGGGACATGTGTACCATCTTGTAGGACTGTAATTGGGAGTCAGTGACTTGGTGTCTAACGTAGACAGAAACCGGCTGTGGTGGCTCACTCCTATAATCCCAGAACTTTGGGAGGCCGAGGCTGGTGGATCACTTGAGACCAGGAGTTCAAGATCATCCTGGCCAACATGGTGAAACCCTGTCTCTACTAAAAATACAAAAATTAGCCAGGCATGGTGGCGCACACTTGTAATCCCAGCTACTCGGTGGCTGAGGCACAAGGATTGCTTGATCCTGGGAGGTGGAGGTTGCAGTGAGTAGAGATTATGCCACTCCAGCCTGCACGGCAGAGTGAGACTCTGTCTCAAAAATAAAAATAAGGCCGGGCGCGGTGGTTCACGCCTATAATCCCAGCACTTTGGGAGGCCAGGGCGGGCGGATCATGAGGTCAAGAGATTGAGACCATCCTGGTCAACATGGTGAGACCCTGTCTCAAAAAAAAAAAAAAAAAAAAAAAAGATTACAAAAATTAGCTGGGCATGGTGGCAGGTGCCTGTAATCCCAGCTGCTCGGGAGGCTGAGGCAGGAGAATTGCTTGAACCTGGAAGGCAAAGATTGCAGTGAGCCAGGATCAAACCACTGCACTCCAGCCTGGGCGACTTGAGCAAAACTCCATCTCAAAAAAAAAAAATCATCCCTTAAAAGACAAGGTCACCTGGAGGCCCGGGTCCCCTGCCTTCCCCGGGTACAGTCCTCAACCCTGGCTCCACACGGGGCTGGCACCCCTCCCACCTTCCCTCCCACTCCAGGGACATGGGCGGCTTTGCCATCTGGTGCAAGAAAGCGAAGGTCCCGAGGCCCGTGCCCAAGCCCCGAGGTCTCAGCCGGGACATGCAGAGCCTCTCTCTGGATGCACCCAGCCAGCCCAGGTGAGCCCTCAGGCACCAGAGTGGGGGTGGCTGTGGCCCGAGGATGAGGTCTGACCTGGGTCCTCCCACCTTCAGCAAGGGCGGCCTCCTGGAGCGGACACTGTCAAGGCTGGGCCCTCGGGCATCCACTCTGCGGAGGAATGACTCCATCTACGAGGCCTCCAGCCTCTATGGCATCTCAGGTGAGCACAGAGTGGGGAAACTGAGGCACGGGGTGGAGGGTGTGACTGGCTTGAGATTACATGGCCAGGAAGGGTCGATTCTGTAAAGACTGATAGCCGGGCTGTGAGGGGCGGGTCTCTCTGGGCAGAGCGGGCAGCTCCCTCCACCTCACCTCCTCTCCTGGCATGTTTTTCAGCTATGGATGGGGTTCCCTTCACACTACACCCCCGATTCGAGGGCAAGAGTTGCAGCCCGTTGGTGAGTCAGGTCTCCAGGAGCCAGGGTCTGTGCCTGCCATCACCACACCGGGTGCCAGGGCATTCCTGTATCCAGCACCCCAGCACAGAGGGCCATGTCCTGGGTTGAGGCTGGAGTATGTCACCTCCAGGTGGCAGCTGGAAGGTCCTCAGTCTCAGAACGGGGAGGGGTCCATCCAGAGAAGCTGGTGGACCCCAGTAGCTAGAGGTTGTGGCAAAAAGGAGAGGGATGCTGGGCGAGGTGGCTCACACCTGTGATCCCACCACTTTGGGAGGCCAAGGCAGGTGGATCACTTGAGGCCAGGAGTTCAAGACTAGTGTGGCCAACATGGTGAAACCCAGTCTCTACTGAAAATACAAAAATTAGCAGGGTGCAGTGGCTCATGCCTGTTATCCCAGCACTTTGGGAGGCTGAGGTGGGCGGATCGCCTGAGGTCGGGAGTTCGAGACAAGCCTGACCAACATGGAAGAATCCCATCTCTACTAAAAATATAAAAATAGCTGGGCATGGTGATACATGCCTGTAATCCTAGCTACTTGGGAAACTGAGGCAGGAGAATTGCTTGAACCCGGGAGGCAGAGGTTTCAGGGAGCTGAGATCACGCCATTGCACTCCAGCCTGGGCGACAAGAGTATTCGGGAGTTGGGGGGTGGGGTGACAGGACTCCTTGAATACGAGGGAAAGAGGGTTTCAGGTTGGGATCGGGCCCAAGACTGACCCACCTCTGCCCGCCAGACCTTCTCTGCATTTGGGGACCTGACCATCAAGTCTCTGGCGGACATTGAGGAGGAGGTGGGTGCAGGGCTAGGGAGGAGGTGCTGGAGGAGCTGGGACCCCCATCCCGCCCCAGGCTGTCCCAATCTTCCCCATCTCCCCTTTCCCCCAGACACATCCGTCTCTCCAGGGCCGAAGACCACTTGAGTCCCTAAGTACCCCCCGCATTCCTCAGTCACCCTCCCTTTGGCCTTCCCTTCACTCTGGCACCTGCTCACTCTCGCTCTCTCCTTCCCCAAGTATAACTATGGCTTCGTGGTGGAGAAGACCGCTGCTGCCCGACTCCCCCCCAGCGTCTCGTAGTCCCTCACCCGTCCGCAGAAAGAGCCCCTTTCCGTCACCCGCGAGCCTGGGGGCCACCCCGCCTCATTACATCTTGGGAACCTCCGCCCTGCAAGGCATTTGCCATCTTCAGCCACTAGGCGGAGCTGCAGCCCTGGAGGAGGGGGCAGGTAGAGGCTTCGTGGTGATGGGGTCTCCACCCGCAGGCCCTGCCGGGCGGGGCTGGAGCTGGATGGAAGCCAGTGCCTTTAAGTCATTCGTGTCAAAACCTGGGGTCTGGAGGCTCCGTGGGTGTCCTGCCAATAAACACTACCGGTTCTCACCCTCTGGAGTCCTGATCCTGCCGCGGGCCCACACCAGGCTCGTGGAACTGAGACTCTGCCGCTCTTGCATCGGGCAAGTGGGTGGAATGATGGTGGGGAGGCGGTGCTGCTGGGTCTCGTTTTTTTTTTGGTTTTTAGTTTAGTTTTTTTTTTCCTGAGACGGGGTCTTCCTCTGTGGCCCAGGGTGGGGTTCAGTGGCATGATCTTGGCTCACTGCAACCTCCGCCTCCGGGGTTCAACTGATTCCCCTGCCTCGGCCTCCTGAGTGGTTGGGATTACAGGCATCCACCACCACACCGGGCTAATTTTTTTATATTTTTCTATCGACAGAGTTTCACTGTGTTTGCCAGGCTGGTCTTGAACTCTTGACCTCAGGTGATCTGCCTGCCTCGGCCTCCCAAAGTGCTGGGATTACAGGTGCCCGCCACCATGTCTGGCTAATTTTGTATATATTTTTTTAGTAGAGATGGGGTTTTTGCCACATTGGTGAGGCTGGTCTTGAACTCCTGACCTCAGGTGATCCACCCTCCTTGGCCTCCCAAAGTGCTGGGATTACAGACGTGAACCACGTGCCTGGCTTGGGTCTCTCATTCTACAGAGTGGGAAACTGAGGTTCAGGGAGTGAGTACGACCAGATTCTAGATCATACAGAAGACCTCCTCGTCCTGGCCATCCATCCTTGGGCATAATAATAAAACAAGTACTGTTTCTATTGCAGTGGCCACACCCCCAACACACGATGCACCATTATTACCTCATTTAGTCTTCCCACCAACCACTGGGAAACCCAGGTTTTGTTCCCATTTTCCAGATAGAGAAACTGAGATAGGAATCAAATCCAGAAATTTCTTTTTTTTTTTTTGAAATGGAGTCTCCCTCTGTTGCCCAGGATGGGTGCAGTGGCACAATCTAGGCTCACAGCAACCTCCACCTCCCAGATTCACAGCAACCTCCACCTCCCAGATTCAAGCAATTCTCCTGCCTCAGCACCCCCCTTCTGCCCCTTGCTGTCCAGTAGCTGGGCACCATACCCAGCTAATTTTTTGTTGTTTTTGTTTTTTTTTGTTTTGAGACAGAGTTTCACTCTTGTTACCCAGACTGGAGTGCAATGGCGCGATCTCGGCTCACCGCACCCTCCGCCTCCTGGGTTCAAGCAATTCTCCTGCCTCAGCCTCCCAAGTAGCTGGGACTACAGGCGTGCACAACCATGCCCAGCTAATTTTTGTAGTTTTAGTAGAGATGGGGTTTCACCTTGTTGACCAGGATGGTCTGAATCTCTTGACCTCGTGATCCACCCGCCTCGGCCTCCCAAAGTGCTGGGATTATAGGCGTGAGCCACCGAGCCCTGCTATGTACTTTTTTTAAAAAAAGACACTTTATTTAATATCTATGGTGGATTCATTCACCTTGAACTCACAGCCAACGGCACTGAAACTCATGTCTGCATGAAGCTTCTCTAAAACAGATTTTCTTCGTGTATCACAGACTTTTTTTTTTTTTTTTTTGAGACGGAGTCTCCCTCTGGCCCAGGCTGGAGTACAGTGGCGCGATCTCGGCTCACAGCCACCTCTACTTCTCAGTCCCGGTTCAAGCAATTTTCCTGCCTCAGCCTCCGGAGTAGCTGGGATTGCAGGCATGCGCCACCACACCCAGCTAATTTTTGTATTCTTAGTAGAGATGGGGTTTCGCCATGTTGGCCAGGCTTGTATTGAACTCCTGACCTCATGATCCACCCGCCTCAGCCTCCCAAAGTGCTGGGATTACAGGCGTGAGCCACCACACCTGGCCCTTTTTTCTTTTTTAAGTATTTTATTTTTGGAGTGATTATAGCTCACTGCAGCCTTGACCTCCCAGGCTCAGGTGGATCCTCCAATCTCAGCCTCCTGAGTAGCTGGGACTACAGGCTACAATGGGATAATTTAAAAAATATGTTAGTACTAATGGGGTCTCCCTGTATTGCCCAGGCTGGCCTTGAATTCCTGGCCTCGGGCCATCATCCTGCCTCAGCCTCCCAATGTGCTGGGATTACACGCTTGAGCCATTGAGCGCAGCCATCATGGCCTCTGGTACTCAAGAACCCTGAACAGCATTTTGGTATCTGGGGCCATTTCAGTAGCCAACAAAAACCACAAGAACGTGGCCGGGCACAGTGGCTCATGCTTGTAATCCTAGCACTTTGGGAGGCCAAAGCAGGTGGATCACCTGAGATCAGGAGTCCAAGACCAGCCTGACCAACATGGTAAAACCTCATCTCTACCAAAAATACAGATTTAGCTGGGTGTGGTGGTACATTCCTGTAATCCCAGCTACTTGGGAGACTGAAGCAGGAGAATTGCTTGAACCCAGGAAGTGGAGGTTGCAGTGAGCCGAGATCGTGCCATTACACTCTAGCCTGGGCAACAAGAGTGAAACTCCGTTTCCAAAAAAAAAAGAAAGAAATTCACCACCCTAAGCTCACGCCTTCTTTCTCCCATCAGTGCACGCCCATCGACATGTACGGTGGCTGCTGTGCCGCTGTTTCTTCTGGCTCTTGCAGCGTCACGGTGGCCCCTATTCTGCTGCAGTTGTCAACACCCACCTGATCTCTGTGGCCGGGCGTGGTGGCTCACGCCTGTAATCCCAACACTTTGGGAGGCCAAGGCGAGCAGATCACCTGAGGTCAGGTGTTACAGATAGCCTGGCCAACATAGTGAAACCCTGTCTCTACTAAAAATACTGGGCATGATGGCACATGCCTGTAGTCTCAGCTGCTTGGGAGGCTGAGGCAGGAGAATCACTTGAACCCGGGAGGTCAAGGTTGCAGTGAGCCAAGATGGCGCCATTGCACTCCAGCCTGGGCAACAAGAGTGAAACTCCATCTTGGGGGTGGGGGGAGAGGGCCAGGCTTGGTGGCTCACACCTGTAATTCCAGCACTTTGGGAGGCCAAGGCGGGCAGATCACGAGGTTGAGAGATTGAGACCAGCCTGGCCAACATGGTGAAACCCTGTCTCTACTAAAAATACAAAAAAATTAGCCGGGCATGGTGGTGCATGCCTATAGCCCCAGCTACTCAGGAGGCTGAGGCAGGAGAATTGCTTGAAACCGGAAAATGCAAGTTGCAGTGAGCTGGGATTGCACCATTGCACTCTAGCCTGGTGATAGAGCGAGACTCCATCTCAAAAAAAAAAAAAAAGAAAACCTAAGGCTGTCATACTTAGAGTCTCTCATCTGTAATCCTGACACTTTTGGGGGCTGAGGCACGAGGATCACTGAGGCCAGGAGATTGAGGCAGCAGTCTGCTGTGATTGCACCACTGCACTCCAGCCTGGGTACAGAGTGAGACCTGTCTCTAAATAAATAAATAAGCCAACAGCCTGGGTGCAGAGCAGAACCCTGTCTCTAAGTGAATGGATAAATAAATAAATAGCAAAGCTAAGGCTTATTTCTCAGCAACAATAGCCTTTGTTAGTTGTAGTGGTGCAGAATCCCGCCTAAGGGGAAGGGCGTTATTTCATCTCACAGTGAGCGCAGTGTTGTCTAAAAAAACATCCCAGCTTTTATCTATCTATGTATTTATTTATTTATTTTTGAGACGGAGTTTCGCTGTTGTTACCCAGGCTGGAGTGCAATGGCGTGATCTTGGCTCACCGCAGCCTCCGCTTTCTGGGTTCGAGCAATTCTCCTGCCTCACCCTCCCGAGTAGCTGGGATTACAGGCACGTGCCACCATGTCCAGCTAATTTTTGTATTTTTAGTAGAGACGGTTTCACCATGTTGCCCAGGATGGGCTCGATCTCTTGACCTCGTGATCCACCCTCCTCGGCCTCCCAAAGTGCTGGGATTATAGGCGTGAGCTACCGCGCCCGGCCACATCCCAGCTTTTAAATAAAGTTGGCCACCGTAGTGGCTCATGCCTGGAATGCCAGCACTGTCAGAGGCTGAGGCGAGAGGATCACTTGAGGCCCCGGGAGTTTGAGACCAGCCTGGCCAACATGGTGAAACAGGGCAACACAGCAAGGCCCTGTCTGTACAAATTAAACATTAGCCGGGCAAGGTGATGTGTGCCTGTAGTCCCTGCTACTTGAGAGGCTGAGGGGTGCACGGCTCCCACATGTAATTGCCCGAGTCTACGAGGTGAAAGCTGCAATTGCGGAGAGCCAGAGTAGCCCACTCTCTCTGGGGGAGTCAAGGCTGCTGTGAACTTCGGGTGGACTCCAGAGAAGCAAACCCTTACTAGGGGAATGTGTATGTCTCAGAGAAGAGCAGAGAGGCCTGGAAAAAGAAAACCAGCTCTCACTGACCTCACTCACTGCAAGATAGTTGTTAGCTGAAGCGTATTAACTAAAGTGTGAGAATTTTCACCACAGGCTGTTCTAAGTAACTGCACTCTCCCTCTGCTCTGTGCTTTGTAAACATATCAAATAAAGTACTCTGAGGCAGGTCGGGGCCGAAGAGACTGATACCATCAGCTTTTCGGACCGCCTGGCCCAGCTTTGTATATGTCTGTGTGTCTTTCTTTATCCCCCACCATTCCCTCTTAGGTCTTTGAACCCTCGTGCAGCGTGGGACGCAGTGCATGCCAGAGCAGTGGGCTATGATTGCATAACTGCACTCCAGCCTGGGTGACAGCAAGACCCTGTCTCAAAAAAATAAAAAAAGAAAAGAAAATCTAGGTCTGGGTGCAGCAGTGGCTCACACCTGTAATCCCAGCACTTTGGGAGGCCAAGGCCAAGCTGGGAGGATCTCTTGAGCTCAGGAGATCAAGGTGAGCTTGGGCAGCAGTGAAACACCGACTCTGCAAAAAACACACACACACACATATAATTCTGATAATTTTTTTTTTTTTTTTTTTTTTTTTGAGACAGTTTTACTCTTGTTGCCCAGGCTGGAGTACAATGTGTGATCTCGGCTCACCACAACCTCTGCCTCCCGGGTTCAAGTGATTCTCCTGCCTCAGCCTCCGGAGTAGCTGGGATTACAGTCGTGCACCACCATGCCCGGCTAATTTTTTATTTTTAGTAGAGATGGGTTTCCCCATGTTGGTCAGGCTGGTCTTGAACTCCTAACCTCAGGTGATCCTCCTGCCTCAGCCTCCCAAAGTGTTGGGATTACAGGCGTGAGCCACGGTGCCTAGCCGACTGATGATTGTTAAAAGTAAACAAGACTTTATTCAAGACGACTGCATGCCAGATTGAGCTCAACTCTGAATCCACAAAGTTGTTGACAAGTGGGATTTACAGCCACGGAGCAGGGCGAGTGCGGTCAGTGGCTAGAAAATTAGAAAGGCTTGGGGAGTCACCTGAAACAACAGGATCCTTGCTGAAGGCAGGCCAGGGCAATCAGATACCAAGAAACTGACTTAGCAGGATTCTTGCTAAGACTGGGTGAGACAGATCAAAGACAGGACAGGAGCCAAGGTCAAGGTCCGATGCAGGAGCGATTTCAGAGGACTCTGGCTCAGGTTTGTCAAGAAGAGAGTCTTTGTCAGGGAGGAGACCTGGCCTGGCCTTGTGAATCTAAGAGAAGGGACAGTGAGCTCTCCTGGAAGGGGAGGTGAGCAGATGATGCAAAATGTACCCCCCTGCCCAAACTTTTCAGCTGCCTTGGAAAAACTAGGTCTCTGGTGCTAAGGCACCTGCCTGCCATTCCCAGCTCCCAGTGCATGGGGCGTCTGCCAGGTCCCTCCCAGGCTCCTCTGGCGCCGGCCAGGGAATCCGATCCAGCCAGAAAGCAAATGACATTTGTCCTCTCTGCCGTCCTTCCCCGCTGCCCCGAAAGCAGCTCCAGATCTCATTTCAGGGTGTCTGTGTGACCAGGGGCCTGAGCATGACCCATCCTGGCCTTGGATCCGACTAGGGCCACTCACCCTGCAAAATCCCAGGCCTCTGAGCCCAGGCAGGCCTGGGGACTGTATCACACACGGGTTGGAGGGGCCCAATGGAGCTCTCCCCACCTGCTCCCGGCTTGGGCCTCATCAATCCTAAAATTTCTAGGCTGAGCTTACACCGTCTTAGGCTACAGAGGAGGGAGCTGAGGCCCCCAGGAACCACAGCACCTAGTCCAGGATGCGGACCCAGCCTTCTCTCCTTTTATTTCTTCTTTGTTTGAGCTGGAGTCTCACTCTGTGGCCCAGGCTGGAGCACAGTGGTGCGATCTCAGCTCACTGCCACCTCTGCCTCCTGGGTTCAAGCAATTCTCCTGCCTCAGCCTCCCCAGTAGCTGTGGTTACAGACACCCGCCACTACACCCGGCTAATTTTGTATTTTTAGTAGAGATGGGGTTTCTCTATGTTGGTCAGGCTGGTCTCGAACTCCTGACCTCAGGTGATCCGCCTGCCTTGGCCTCCCAAAATGCTGGGATTATAGGTGTGAGCCACTATGCCGGCTTTGTGTTATGTTTGTGTGTGTGGGAGGGAGCATGATGGCATGCCCCTCTAATCCCAGCTTCTTGGGAAGCTGAGGTAAGAGAATTGCTTTAGCCAGGGAGTCCCATCTCTATGAAAATAAAAAATACAAAAATTAGCTGGTGTAGTGGAGTGGGCCTATAGTCCTGGCTACTCTGGAGGCTGAGTCAGGAGGATCGCTTGAGCCCAGGAGGTAGAGGCTGCAGTGAGCTGTGATCACAACACATCATTCCAGTCTGGGTACAGTGCAAACCCCTCTTTGAAAAAAATGTTTAAGTGAAAATCACATTAACCTTATATAATTATATTAATTAATATAATTAACCATTTAAAAGTATATGATTGAGGCCAGGCATGGTGGCTCACGCCTGTAATCTCAGCACTTTGAGGGACCGAGGTGGGTGGATTACTTAAGGTTGGGAGTTCGAGACCAGCTTGGCCGACATGGTGAAATGCCATCTCTACTAAAAATGTAAAAACTAGCTGGGCCTGGTGGCCTGTGCCTATAATCCCAGCTACCCAGGAGGCTGAGGCAGGAGAATCTCTTGTATCTGGGAGGCGGAGGTGGCAATGAACTGAGATCACGCCACAGCACTCCAGCCTGGGCGACAGAAGACTGTTTCAAAAAAACCACAAGAAACGAAAAACAAACATTGGGTGGGTGTGGTGGCCTGAGCCTGTAATCCCAGCTACTCGGAAGTCTGAGGCAGGAGAATCACTTGAACCCGGGAGGTGGAGGTTGCCTGAGGTGAGATGATGCCTGGGTGACAGAGTGAGACTCCATTTCGAAACCAAACGAAAAAAAACAGGTGGAACCCGGGTCCCAGACTGGGGCCTGCCAGGGCCATGCCCTGGGCCTCATTCCTGCCCTCCCCACACCCCACCCAAGTCTCACCCATGGGCCTGGGCTTGGTCACCCAGCACAATTGAATATTGATTAACACAGAGATAGTGACTATCAGAGTTTATTTGTGGGTTGTGCAAGACGGGAGACCTTTGGAGACCCCTCTGTCATTTCCTGGAGCCCCAGAAACTACCCATGTCTACACCCCAAGCAGCAGCAGCATGAGAACGATTAATACCCTTGAGGATCTATTGTGTCGGGGCCTCCCCAGTATGGCTCACGTGAAGTCACGTGTCTTGTGGGAGCCCTTGGAGGCAGGGCCCCTTCTTGTCTCCATATTACAGATGAGGAAACTGAGGCACAAAGCGGCTAAGCCCTCAGCCATGAGTCCACAGCCAGGAACCTGGGTCCAGCCCTCCAGCCATGTGCCTGGCCCTGGGCTGCTCTGAGCTTGGCACACGGGGGTTTGAAATGGTCACAACCTGAGGGGTGCAGCAGGGATTTGCAGAGTCTGAGACTTTCACATCAGCAGCTTGGAGATTACGGGGTGCAGGTGAGAATCCTGGCTCTGGCGCTCAGTCCTGGCCGTGGGCCCCCTGGTGAGTCACTGCCTCTCTTGGGGCCTCGGTTTCCTCATCTGTAAAATGGATGGAGACACTTAGAGAATCACTGCCTAAGCCCCCTGCTCCCCTACTGCCAATAACGGTCTCATTCATCTGGGCAGCCGCATTTCCCAGGCTCCCTTGCGGTAAGGTGTGGTCATTTCTCTCTGTTCTTGCCAGTGGGATATAAAAAGAAGGGTTACGGCTGGGTGCCGTGCGGCTCACACCTGTAATCCCAGCACTTTGGGAGGCCGAGGCAGGCAGATCACCTGAGGTCGGGAGTTTGAGACCAGCCTGACCAAGATGGAGAAACCCCATCTCCACTAAAAATACAAAATTAGCCAGGCATGGTGGCACATGTCCATAATCTCAACTACTCAGGAGGCTGAGGCAGAAGAATCCCTTGAACCCAGGAGATGGAGGTTGTGGTGAGCTGAGATCTCGCCATTGCACTCCAGCCTGGGCAACAGGAGCAAAACTCCGTCTCAAAGCGGGGGGAAAAAAAGAGTTTCAAGGCTTCCTGGGAAGACTTCTTCCAGGAGACCCCCAGCCAGCACTGGCCTCTGACTTTCCCTCATAAGGAGGAGGTGAAGGCTGGAGCTCTGGCAACTATTTTGTGCCATGAGGCAACCTTGAGGACAAAAGCCAAGGTTGTAATGAGATGAGAGAAAAATCAAGTCCTTCTGCTACTGCAGCTGAAACTTAACCTATCTCTATGGTATCCTTTTATTACACCGGGTCTCTATTCTTCATCCCTGGGCTCACACCAGTGTGGAGTCCTTCCCCGTGCTCCCCAGCCTGTGGCTCAGCATTCGATGCATCTCGTGGGTGACCCCGTCCCAGTGCCCCAGGCCGGCCGACAGTGTCCGGTGCGTTCGGGGTGTAGGCAGACCACTCTCCCAGCCTCCCCCGAGAGCTGCAGGTACTGTGGCAGTGGCCATGGACCCAAGGGGGTCCCCAGGTTCTGGACGGGCTGAATAGGGGGTCCGACGATGGGTACCCTGCTGAGGCTGAGCTCTGGGGCTGGCCTTGGAGACTTCGGCAGGGCGGGTGAGGTCATCTTCAAAGGATGGCGGGGACAACTCATGGAGCCCACGGCGGGTGGCCCGGGCGGCCCGGAGGAGCGTGTGGGTCAGCATGGCCACCAGAACCAGAGCACCCGAGCTGAGGATGGAAGCGGCTGCTGCGCCTGTCTCGATCTCGAAAAGTAGCAAGGCATAGATGGACAGTGCTAGGGAAGGAAACAACTCTCATTTATTCAGTCAACAAACATCTGCCTTCCAAGCCCTCAGGGAACTCCTGCACACTGGGAAAATCACAAAAAACCCTGCCACGCGATGGGCACATAGAATAAGCATCTAATCTTCCTACACCCCACACGTGGTACATCAGGATCACATCTATTTTACAGAGGAGAAAGCTGCGGCCCAGAGAAGTTAGGGGACTCCTCAAAGCCACACAGCCAAGAAGTGACAGAGGTGGGATTTTTTTTTTTTTTTTTCTGAGATGAAGTTTCACTCTTGTTGCCCAGGCTGGAGTGCAATGGCACAATCTCAGCTCACTGCAGCCTCCACCTCCTGGTTCAAGCAATTCTCCTGCCTCAGCCTCCCAAGTAGCTGGGATTACAGGCATGTGCCACCACACCTGGCTAATTTTGTATTTTTAGTAGAGATGGGGTTTCTCCATGTTGGTCAGGCTGGTCTCGAACTTCTGACCTCAAGTGATCTGCCCACCTCAGCCTCCCAAAGTGCTGGGATTATAGGCATGAGTCACTGTGCCCAGCCTAATTTTTGTATTTTTAGTAGAGTTTGGGTTTGACCTTGTTGCCTAGGCTGGTCTCGAACTCCTGAGCTCAAGTGATCCTCCAGCTTTGGCATCCCAAAAGGGCTGGGATTACAGGGGTGAACCACTGCTCCCCACTGGGTTTTCTTCTAAGAGCAACGAGTAACCAGGGGGTATGTTGGAGCTGGGGAGGAACAGGACCTGCTCTTTTTTTTTTTTTTTTTGAGATGGAGTCTTGCTCTGTCACTCAGGCTGGAGTGGCACGATGGATCACTGTAATCTCTGCCTCCCAGGTTCAAGCGATTCTGCTGCCTCAGCCTCCTGAGTAGCTGAGACTACAGGCATGTGCCACCATGCCTGGCTGATGTTTTGTATTTTCAGTAGAGACGGGGTTTCACCATGTTGGTCAGGCTGCTCTTGATCTCCTGACCTTGTGATCTGCCTGCCTCAGCCTCCCAAAGTGCTGGGATTACAGGCATGAGCCACCGGCCTGGCTTTGTTTTTTTTTGAGATGGAGTCTTGCTCTGTCACCCAGGCTGGAGTGGTGTGATCTCAACTCACTGCAACCTCTGTCTCCTGGGTTCAAGCAATTCTCCCACCTTAGCCTCCTGAGTAGCTGGGACTACAGGTGCCTACCACCATGCCCGGCTGATTTTTTATATTTTCAGTAGAGACAGGGTTTCATCCTGTTAGTCTGGTCTTGATCTCCTGACCTCATGATCCGCCCACCTCAGCCTCCCAAAGTGTTGGAATTACAGGCATGAGCCACTGCACCCAGCTACCTGCTCTATCTTTTAAGAAGCTCCCTGTTGGTGGGATACCCCATATGAGGGAATATGCTGCAGGCGTGAAAGGGATGAAGCACTGTTCCATGCCACAGCATGGACGATGTGAGTGAGAGACGGCAGATCCAGTGGCCACAGAGTGTGAGATGCTACTGATCTGAAATGTCCAGCACAGGCAAATCCAGTCTGGGCACCGTGGCTCACGGTTGTCATCCCAGCACTTTGGGAGGCCGAGGTGAGTGGACTGAGACTAGCCTCACCGTGTTGGTCAGGTGTTCGAGACTGTGGGTAATCCCCCATACAGGCACCGAAGAATGAGAGCTAAGCAGAACCCTGGCACAGTTAGGGCTTGAGGAATATCTCAATTTATAGTGTTACTACTAAGCTATTTCCTTTTATATAATCCTTTATATAATCATATATTAGTTTATAGAAATGGGGCTTGACGAATCCCTTTATATAATCCTATCTATATAATCATATAATAGTTGATAGTATGAGTGCCTAAAGAATATCTCCCTACATATATCTCTATAATTATATCTTAGTTCATATCGGAGGAATGCCTAGAGTGGACACAGTACAGAGCATGAATTAAGGAATAAGCAGCTTATAATCAGAGGAATGTCTAAAGCAGACACAGTGCAGAGCATGATTTAAGGGAAAACAGTTATACCAGGACAAGAATCCAAGGCCCAGGCGGCAGCGTTCAGTATCATAAAGATTCCCGCTGTGTGGCAGGCTTGGGGCGAGAGCCACTCCCCCTGATAAAGGAGTTGTAGGACCTTGCTCCAGTTCTTGTGGAAGGCTGCCCTTAGCCCGGCAATCCACCTTGGTGACTGTGAACTTATCAGCTCTGGTCACTGTGCTGCTCGAAAAGCATCTTCCCATAGAACCCATTGGAAGCTGCCAGAAGGTGGTGGTAACCCTGACAGCTCTGTCACTGCTGTGTGACTTAAAGCATCCTCCTATAAATCTTCTTAGAAGTAGTTAGACCATAGATAGAAGTATTGCACACTGCACCCTCTTCACTGTCCACCTCCTGGCCTAGGTGACCTAATGGGGGTGGACCCAATGTTTTAGTGCTCACGACCCTACCACTATCCTTAAAGATGATTTCACTCACTGCCCTACCCCCTAACCCCCTAACCTAGAAACAATAAATACTCAGGCTTCTGGACACGCGGAGCCTCGCCTGACTCTGCTTATAGGTGGCGTGGCCCCCCGAGCCTAGCTGCATCCTTCTTGTACTTCTGTGTCCTGTCTCTTTATTTCTCGGATCCTGCGCCTCAGCACAGCATAAGGCTCACCCCACGACCCTGTGGGGCCCTCAGCCCTACATCAGGCTCCCAACGTGCCCTACAGAGACCAACATGGTGAAACCTCATCTCTACTAAAAATGCAAAAATTAGCTGGGCATGGTGGCACACACCTGTAATCCCAGCTACTTGGGAGGCTGAGGCAGGAGAATTGCTTGAACCCGGAAGGTGGAGGCTTCAGTAAGCCCAGATTGCGCCACTGCACTACAGCTCCAGCCTGGGTGACAGAGTAAGACTCCCTCTCAAAAAAAAAAAACAAAAAACAAACAAAAATTGGCAAATCCTTAGAGACAGTAGATTAGCGACTGCCAGGGATGAGGAAGGGGGAATGGGGAGTGATTGCTAATGGGGACGGGGTTTCCTGTTGGGTAACAAAAATATTCTGGAACCAGATAGTAGCAATGGTTAGCTAAAACCGTGAATGTTCTAACTCCCACTGAATTATACACTTGAAAGTGGTTAAAGGCTGGGCCAGTGATTCACATCTGTAATCCCAGAACTTTCGGAAGCCGAGGTGAGAGGATTGCTTGAGGCCAGGAGTTGGACACCAGCTCAGGTAACATACAGAAACCAGTCTCTACAAAAAATAATAAACAATCTGGAAATGGTAGTGCTTGCCTGTAGTCCCAGCTAGTTGTGGGGCTGAGGCAGGAGGACCGCTTGGGCCCAGGACGAAGAAAGCTGCAGTGAGCTGTGATCACACCACTGCACTCCAGCCTGGGTGACAGCGAGACCCTGTCTCAAACAATAAAAATAAAATGCACTGGTTAAAATGGTAATGTTTTTATTATGTGTATTTTACCACAGTTAAAAAAACTGCAACTTAACCGGTCATGGTGGTGCATGCCTGTAGTCCCAGCTACTTGGGAGGCTGAGGCAGGAGAATCGCTTGAACCTGGGAGGTGGAGGTTGCAGTGAGCTGAGATCGCACCATTGCACTCCAGCCTGGGCAACAGAGCAAGACTCTGGGCGGGCGAGGTGGGAGGGTGGGGGAGAAGGGACTTTGAGCACCTGAACTAGCTAGCCCTCTATCAGCCTCTCCCACATACAGTTTGACACCATTAGCAGCTTCTACCCACTAGATGTCAGTAGCGTCCCACCCTCAGCTCTGTTGCGCCCACCAAAAAGGTGAAGAAAGTCTTCTGAGGCCAGAATCACTCTCAGTTGAGAATCCCTGGTCTGGCCCGTCTCTACACTGGGGAATGGATCTGAGATCACAGACCCACTTAGGCATCAGTGATGTCCTCATTGGACCAGGCTCAGCCAATCAGAGCATTCATTACTTCTCCTGATGTTAATGATTGGTGGAGGAATATTACATGGCCCAAGCTCAGCCTATCAGAGTCAGTCTGGGGACTTTAGCCTGGGCTATTGGGACAGAGCGGTTTTCCTGTAGCGTCTGGGGTGTTGGTATTGGTAGGCGAGCCGCCCTGAACAGATGGGGGACTTTTTTTTTTTTTTGGCACTCTCCCGGCTGTGTTTTTGTTTGTTTGTTTTGAGACAGAGTCTCGCTCTGCCACCCAGGCTGGAGTGCAGTGGCGTGGCGTGATCTCGCTCAGGTCACCTCCGCCTCCCAGGTTCAAGCGATTCTCCCGCCTCAGCCTCCCGAGTAGCTGAGACTACAGGTGCCTGCCACCATGCCTGACTAATTTTTGTACTTTTATTAGTAGAGACAGGGTTTCATCATACTGTTCTCAAACTCCTGACCTTGTGATCCACCTGCCTCGGCCTCCCAAAGGGCTGGGATTACGCGCGGGAGCCACCGCGCCTGGCCGTTCCCAGGCTGTGTTTTTGTTTGTTTGTTTGTTTTGAGACAGAGTCTCGCTGTGCCACCCAGGCTGGAGTGCAGTGGCGTGGCGTGATCTCGCCCAGGTCATTGTAACCTCCACCTCCCAGGTTCAAGCGATTCTCCCGCCTCAGCCTCCCGAGTAACTGGGGTTACAGGTGCCTGCCACCATGCCTGGCTAATTTTTGTATTTTTAGTAGAGACAGGGTTTCATCATATTGGCCATCATACTGATCTCGAACTCCTGACCTTGTGATCCACCTGCCTCGGCCTCCCAAAGTGCTGGGATTACGCGCGGGAGCCACCGCGCCTGGCCGTTTCCAGGCTGTTTTTATGCGTTTTCTGGCTCTGTACTATTTACTGGTTTGGAAGATACTACACTGCATGATGTGTGACATATGAAAGCAAGGCCAAGGACTTTTCTTCCTTTTTTTTTTTTTTCTGGAAACATTTTGAAAGGGATTTTGTAATTATTCTTTTAGTTCTAGCTAGCAATGAATGGATGATTAGTTGGACGTGCTTGGGAATTCTTGCTGAATGAGGTCACCTAGCCTCAAAAACAATCTAAATAGGAGGTGAATGAATCCTCAATTTTACGCTTAGTGAGGCTGACATAATATTACCTTTCTTTTCTTTTGTAATTGTTCTTGTGTTTTAGAATGAGGATATTCCCTAGGTCTTGAATATTTCTGTTGGCCTGTGCAAAGACCCAAGATCCAGACATCATGTCAGAAGTGCCTACATACAGGCATCTTTCCCAGAGGGAAGCCCACTTAGGGAACAGCAGATGAAGTGGTGAAGTGAGAAGCATTTATTTTTCTTTTATTATTATTATTTTTAGACAGAGTCTCTCTGTGTTACCCATGCTGGAGTGCAGTGCCGTGATCTCGGCTCACTGCAACCTCTGCCTCCTGGGTTCAAGCAATTCTCCTGCCTCAGCCTCCCGAGTAGCTGGGATTACAGGGGTTCGACACAACGCCTGGCTAATTTTTGTATTTTTAGTAGAAATGGGATTTCACCATGTTGCCCAGGCTGGTCTTGAACCCCTGACCTCAAGTGATTCATCCACCTTGACCTCCCAAAGTGCTGGGATTACACACACCTAGCTGAGAGGCATTTCTGATAACCTAATTTTAGTACCCGGATCCAGCCACACCTGAGACCAACTTCCCCTGACAATTTCGGATGCATGAGTCATCTATCCCCTCTTCTTCTTCTTTTTTTTTTTAAACTCTACATCTGGAGCATTTCATTAAATCAAATAACAAAAGTTATGCAGTATTTCCTGCCCTTCATGTATATAAATTTCCATAGTGAATTTTAGGCTCACATCTCATTAAAATATTTTAAATCTGTCTATCTATCTATCTATCTATCTATCTATTTTTTAGATGAGATTTCACTCTGTTGCCCAGGCTGGAGTACAGTGGTGCGATCTCGACTCGCTGAAACCTCCACCTCTCAGGTTCAAGCTATTCTCCTGTCTCAGCCCACCACCATGCCCAGGTAATTTTTTTGTATTTTTAGTGGAGAAGGGGTTTCAGCATCTTGGCCAGGCTGGTCTTGAACTCCTAACCTCAAGTGATTCACCCACTTTGGCCTCCCAAAGTGCTGGGATTACAGGCGTGAGTCACTGCACCCGGCCTAAATATCTTTTTAGACTTCTATTTTTCTATGGTGGACTATAAAAAAATAGTAATAGCAGATCCTGCTTTTTAATCAGCAGGATATTTTTTCTTCCTGTAAAATGGATCGTTTACAGGGCTGGCAGGGACTTATGTATGATTCAGCGTTGAGTCCGCAGCATCATCAACACATCTGTTTCAAGATTAAAACCAAATATAAGGCATTAGGAGTCTCGTGAAAGACACTTAATGATTTGATTTCTTTCCCAGCCCCGATGAATGAAAGAAAGCTGATTGAAGAACAGTTATTACAAATCAGGAGGGAAAGACAGTGTGGTGTGTTCTGGCATCTGGGTTATTCTTTTTTTTTTCTTAAGCCATTTTTGGGCTGGAAATTGATTTTTATTTTCCCTCGAGACAGAGTCTCATTCTGTCGGCCAGGCTGGAGTGCAGTGGTGCGATCTCAGCTCACTGCAACCTCCACCTCCTGGGTTCAAGCAATTCTCTGCCTCAGTCTCCTGAGGAGTTGGGATTACAGGTTCGTGCCATCATGCCCAGCCAAGTTTTGAATTTTTAGTAGAGACGGTGTTTCACCATTTTGGCCAGGCTGGTCTTGAACTCCTGACCTTGTGATCCACCCACCTTGGCCTCCCAAGGTGCTGGGATTACAGGTGTGAGCCACTGCACTGGGCTGGAAAGTGATATTTATAATCCAAATACTCATTTCATTTCAACCTGTGAAATGCTATCTTTTTTTTTTTTTTTTAAACGGAATTTCGCCCTTGTTGCCCAGGCTGGAGTGCAGTGGCTTGATCTCAGCTCACTGCAACGTCTGCCTCCTGGGTTCAAGCAATTCCCCTGCCTCAGCCTCCTGAGTAGCCGGGATTACAGGCACCCACCACCACGCCCAGCTAATTGTTTTGTATTTTTAGTGGAGACAGGGTTTCATCATTTTGGCCAGGCTGGTCTGGATCTCTTGACCTCATGAGGCGCCTGCCTTGGCCTCCCAAAGTGCTGGGATTACCGGCACGAGCCACCGCGCCCGGCCAAAATGCTATCTTTAGATACCACCCAGGCCATGAAAATTTTTGTTCAAATCAAATGTACAGAACTGATGAATCGGGCTCGGTGGCTCACACCTACAGTCCCAGCACTTTGGGAGGCTGAGGTGGACGGATCACCTGCGGTCGGAAGTTTGAGAGCAGCCTGACCTACATGGAGAAACCCCGTCTCTACTAAAAATATAAAAATTAGCCGGGAGTGGTGGCACATGCCTGTAATCCCAGCTACTCGGGAGGCTGAGGCAGACGAATTGCTTGAACCCAGGACGCTGAGGTTGCAGTGAGCTGAAATGGCGCCACTGCACTCTAACCTGGGAAACAAGAGTGAAACTCTGTCTCAAAAAAACAAAAAACTGATAAATCAAAAATGTTCTGATGACAACTAGCATTTGTGGAGTTCCTGGTGGAGTCAGATGCCATCCATGGGCTTTTTTTCTTTTTTTTATGAGACAGGGTCTCACTGTATCACCCAGGCTGGACAGCAGTGCAGTGCTGCAATCATAGCTCACTGCAGCCTCAACCTTCTAGGCTCAAGTGATCCTCCCACCTTAGCCTCCCAAGGTGTGTGCCACTACACTGAGCTAATTTTATTTTATTTTATTTTTGTAGAGATGGGATTTTGTTATGTTGCCCAGGCTGGTCTCAAACTCCTGGCCTCAAGTGATCCTCCCACCTCGGTCTCCCAAAGTGCTGGGATAAGGGATGTGAGCCACTGCTCCCGGTCCAATGGACTTTCATAAAGTTTAAATCTCAGAACTTCGGGCCAGGCACAGTTGCTCTCGCCTGTAATCTCAGCATTTTGGGAGGCTGAGGCAGGAGGTTTATGAGGTCAGGAGTTCGAGACCAGCCTGGCCAAAATGGTGAAACACCATCTCTACTAAAAATACAAAAAATTGGCCAGGCACGGTGGCAGGCATCTGTAATCCCAGCTACCTGGGAGGCTGAGGCAGGAGAATCGCTTGAACCCAGGAGGCAGAGATTGCGGTGAGCGGAGATCGTGCCACTGCACTCCAGTCTGGGTGACAGAGCAAGACTCCATCTCAAAAAATAAATAAAATAATAAACAAATAAATAAATCTCAGAATCTCCTCAAGTGATTCTGTGAGGTAAAGACAGTTATTTCCAGTGTGCTGCCGAGGACGTCAAGGCACAGAGAGATTTGTCCAAGGAAGTATCGGAGCCTGGAGCTGAACTCGAGCAGGCTGTCTGTGAAGCTGATCGCAGTTAGGGACCATTACTGCTCTTTCCCCAACCCGGGATCCTGTGCCCCGTGTTCTATTCCAGCACACACCTGCTAAGTAGACGGAGACCCCGCAGCAGAAAAGGCCAAGGGCCACGTGTCTGAGGAGGCGGCAGTCGTAGAGAAACCAGTCAGACCTGGGATGGAGGGGAGCAGGAAGAAAAAGGGCTCAGGAAGTGGAGCTGATCGGGGGAGGTCAGTAAGGAGAGGGAGGCAGAGCTGCTTAAATGAGACAGGACCCAGCTTTCAGGGACCAAAAATCTAGAGTACCTAACTATCATCCTTCTACTTGCCCACACATTTACATTACTTATCCACTCTCCATCCATCTGTCCATCATCCATCCATCCATCCATCCATCCATCCACCCACCCACCCACCCATTTATCCACTCATTTATCCATCCATCCATTTATCCACGCATTCATCCATCTGTCTACTCATCCATCCATCCATCCACCCATTCATCCATTCATCTCCCCATTCATCCATCCATCCATCCATCCATCCATCGATTCATCCATCAGCTCATCCAACCACCGGCGCATCCATCCATCCATCCATCCATCCACCCACCCACCCATTTATCCACCCATTCATCCGTCTACTCATCCATCCATCCATCCACCCACCCATCCATTCATATGCTCATTTGTCCATCCATCCACTTGTCCATCCATCAGCCCAGTCACTCGTCTACTCATTCATCCATCCATCCACTTATCAGTTCATTCATGCATCAACTTATCCATCTCCATCCATCAGCCCCATCCATTCATCCAGCCACACAATCATTTAGACACCCACCATCCACCCATTCAATATCTATCTATGCTCCACCCATCCCCCCTTCATCTTTCCAAGTCAGTGTCCACCATCCATTTTTCATCCATATTCATTGATTATGCAACCAGCACTCATATACAGTCTTCCATCCATTTAACTGTGCGCTATTAATCCATCTATCCATTCATTCCAACACCCTCCACTATCCTATCCATCCCTCACCCACCCATCCACTGATCATCCATCTCCCATTCACTATCCATCCATCCTCATCCCTTCCCTCCCTCCCTCCCTTTCCTTCCTTCCTTCCTTTCCTCCCTCCCTCCCTCCTTCACTCCTTTCCTTCCTTCCTTCCCTCCTTCCCTCCTTCCTTCTTTCCACCATCCATTCTCTTTCCCTTATAATCCAGCTATATACATGAGTCCACTCAAACACCCAACACTTGGGAAGCAGCTACTATGTGCAGATACTTGCTACACACCTGGCTTCCATTATTTTACAGACCACGGGCTTCTTTGAGAGATGAGGAAACAGTTTCACGTGCTATGATTGACAGTACAAACAGCGCCTCCAAGAGATGACGCTGACTGAGGAGGAGATGGTGACTCTGAGAGCTTCCATCCTCACTCGGCTCCCATCAGTATAATGAAAGTGGACGCCTTCCCGGTCTTCCTGCTGCCTTTCCTCCCGTCCCCTTTTCAGCACAGTGGCTAGAGGTGGTCATCATTCGAAACCTAAATCAGATCACCTTCCTCCTCACTCACAACCCTCCTTAGCAGGAGAAATCCCGAAGTCCTATCCCATCTCTGTTTTCTTTTCTTCCTGACTCTCATCACGATCTGCCATTATTATTATTATTATTATTAGACATGGGTCTCACTATGTTACCGAAACTGGAGTGCAGTGGTTATTTCATAAGCATGCTCATGGCTCCCTGCAGCCTTGACCTCCTGGGTTCAAGGAATCCTGCCTCAGCCTCCCAAGTATATGGGACTACAGGCGTGAACCACCACACCCAGCTAATTACACTTTTTTCTTTTTCTTTTTTAGAGACGGAGTTTTAATGTTGTTGCCCAGGCTGGAGTGCAATGGTGCGATCTCGGCTCACCGAAATCTCCATCCATCTATCCATTCATTCCAACACCCTCCACTATCTTTTTCCCCCACCAGGGTTCAAAAGATTCTCTTGCCTCAGCCTTCTGAGTGGCTGGAATTACAGGCATGCACCACTATGTTCAGCTTTTTTTTTTTTTTTTCTTTTAGTAGAGACAGGGTTTCTCCATGTTGGTCAGGGTGGTATTGAACTCCCGACTACAGGTGGATCCCCCTGCCTCAGCCTCCCAAAGTGTTGGGATTACAGGCGTGAGCCACTGTGCCCGGCCATTAATTTTTTTTCTTTTTGTAGAGACAAGGTATTGCTATATTACCCAGGCTGGTCTCAAATTCCTGGCTTCCCAGCACTTTGCGAGGCCACGGTGAGTGGATCTTTTGAGGTCAGGAGTTCAAGACCACCTGGCCAACATGAGTTGGGAGAATCACTTGAACCTGGGAGGCAGAGGCTGCAGTGAGCCGATATAGCACCACTGCACTCCAGGCTGAAGAAAGAAAGAAAAAGAGAGAGAGAGAGAGAGAGAGAGAACGAATTCCTGGCCTCAAGTGATCCTCCTGCCTCTGCCTCCCAAAGTGCTGGGAATGCAGGCGTGAGCCACCACACCTGGCCCTTGTTATGTTTCCTTATTTTCTGTGACTCCATGAGAGCAGATCTGGGTCTACTTGTTCCCTGTTGTGTCTCTGACACCCTGAGCCAGACCCAGCCCCTGCAGGCAGGCACCCAACACACATTTGCTGACCCATGAGACCATGCATTTATTTCATTGTCCCTTGGGTGGAAGCTGTGTGGTCTGGATAAAATCTACCCCAGTGGTGGAAGTTCTCATCTGCTCAAATTCACAGAATTCTGGACCAGGCTTTGGGCTCCTCTCTCCCGGCATTCTGGAGGGAAACACTACCACGTGGGACAGCAGAGTCCTGGGCTCAAAGCGGGTTCCTCCTTCCACAACCACTGCCCCTGAGAGAGGCCCCTCAATGACCACATCCCTGAGTTCAGGTCCCTGAGAAAGGACCCCAATTCCAGGCCAGGACACCGGCTCTGGCTGGCTTTACCCAGAACCAAGTTCAAGTCCAGCACTCTCCCGCCCCCACCCCCCTTTCAAGCCAGACGGCCTGGGAGCTCAGCCTCCCCTGTTTGAGATTCAGGCAAACTGATCCTGGGACCCCCTGTGAGCCTCAGTTTCCTCATCTGCAAAACGGGGGACACAGCAGTGGTTGCACCTGCTGCAAAATTTAACAAATATAGAATGGAGGGAACGGGGGAGGAAAAGGGGAAGGCAGAGATGCATGGGGTGGCGGGGGAGGGAAGTGGGGAGGGAAGCTGTCCCCCCCAGCCTGAGGCCAAAAGAGGGGAAGAGGCTCATCCAGGCTCCCCCAGCCCCCAGCCAAGCCTCTAGGGCGGTGAGGCCGGTCCTCCTACCTCCTGGGGCCAGGCCCCCGCGCCAGCTCGGCGCCCAGGTGGCCACAGAGCGCGGCGAGCAGCAGGCAGGTGAACGCCAGCACGAGCGCCAGCGCGGCCAGCGCGGCGGCCAGAGGCAGCAGCGCCCCGGCCGCGTCCTCGGGCAGCCCGGGGCCGGCGCCCAGCTCCTGGCGGAGCCCGTCGGCGCGCAGCCCCCGCAGCTCCGCGCGGCCCGCCTGGAGCTGGAACAGCAGCTGCGCGCTCAGCGCCGCCAGCACGGCCGCCGCGATGCCCAGCAGAGTCACCGCGGCCAGCACCCGGCCGCCGTACGAGCGGGCCATGGCGGGGGTTCCTGCGGGCCCGGGAACAGGTGAGGGATCCAAGTGGTTTTAGGGGGCAGGGGAGTTGGGGGGAGTCCGAGGGCCCCCAGGGGGTCCCCGAGGGGGCGGGGCCGCAGGGAATGTGTGAAAGTTCGGGGGCTGGGCTGGGGGTCGCCAGACGGACGTGGGCTCCGGGGTGCTGGTCGCAGCGGGGACGCCGAGTGTCCGCGAAAACTTGGGACAAAGTCTTTTCTCTTCCCTCCCGGGGCCCCGCGGGCGCCCCCTCTTGATCGGCTGGGCCTGGCGGGCGGGGCCTGGCTCGGGGCTCGGCGCGGGGGCGGGGCCCCACGAGGGGCTGGATCGTGGGAACTCCGTGGCTCTCTAAGTTCAGAAAGGGACACCACCCCGCCCCCTGCCGCCCTAAGTATCGATTTTATTGCTGTTAAATAAAGAAAGAGAAAGGGGTCCGGGGCGGTGGCTCACGCCTGTAATCCCAGCACTTGGGGAGGCCGAGGCGGACGGATGACTTGAGGTCAGGAGTTCGAGACCAGCCTGGCCAACCTGGTGAAACCCCGTCTCTACTGAAAAAACAAACAAAAAAAAAGTCAAAAAAATTATATGTATATAGCCAGACGTGGTGGTGCACGCCTGTAATCCTAGCTACTTGGGAGACTGAGGTGGGAGGATTGATTGCTTGAACCCAGAGATGGAGGTTGCAGTGAGCTGAGATTGCACCACCACACGCTCCAGCCTGGCTGACAGAGTGACTCCGTCTAGAAAAGCGAGCGAGAGAGAAAGGGCTAGGTGAGGTGGCTCACACCTGTAATTCCAGCACTTTGGGAGGCTGAGGCAGGAGGATGGCTTGAGCCCAGGAGTTTGAGACCAGCCTGGGCAACATAGCCAGACCCCATCTCTACAATAAGGCAGTTAGCCTGGTGTGGTGGGGCGCACCTGTGGACCCAGCTACTTTCGAGGCTGAGCCAGGAGGATGGCTTGAGCCCAGGAGGTCGAGTCTGCAGTGAGCTGAGATCATGCCACTGCACTCCAGCCTGGGCGACAGAGCAAGCCTATGTCTCAGAATAGAAATAACAAAATCGAAAAATTCACTTTGTCACTTGATCCCAACCCAGGGACTCTGTCATTGGCCAGGATTTCCCCTCCACTTACCTCCTTCCCTCCAGGAGGCTAGGGAGAGTCCTGGTCCCCTTCCCCAACTGGTGTCCCAAATTATTCCCACAGCACTTTAAACAAATAGAGAAACAAAATTAACCATTTTATTCCGTGGCATTTAGAGTTGTACCACCATCACCTCTGTCTAGTCCTAGAACATTTTCATACCCCCAAAAGGAGACCCTGTCCCCATTAGTGGTCACTCCCCATCCCCCCTCCATTAATCTACTTCCTGTCTCTGTGGATTTCCCCATTCTGGATATTTCATAGCAACGGACTTGTACAAGAGGTGGCATTCTGCTTCTGGTTTCTCTCGGCATCATGCACTCAAGGTTCATCCAGGTTTTAGCATAAATCAGTGCCTCATTCCTTTTTACAGCTGCGTAATATTCCACAGTGTGTCTGGAACACATTGTGCCCATCCGTTCATCCATTGATGGGTATTTCGGTTGCTGCTTCCTTTTGATGAAGGTGAGTAATGCTGCTATCAACATTTGTGCAGAGGTATCTTCTTGAGTCACTGCCGTTCATTCTTGTGGGGAATGGACTCCTAGGAGTGGAGTTGCTGAGTCACGTGATTACTCGAATTTAACTATTTGTGAAACCCTCAAACTTTTCCACAGCAGCTGCAGCCATTTTCCATTTCCACTAACAATGTCTGAGGTTTTAAAAAATAATTTTCTCTGCATCCTCCAAAACACCTGTTTCCTCCTGCCCTTCTTCTTTTTTTTTTTTTTTTTTTTTTTTGGTCAGGGCCTTGCTCTGTCACCAGGGCTGGATTGCGAATTGCAGTGGTGTGATCATAGCTCATTACAGCCTTGACCTCCTCGACTCAAGTGATCTTCCTGCCTCAGCCTCCAAAGCAGCTGGGACTACAGGCAAGCATCACCATGCCTGGCTAAAATTATTATTTTTTTTTTGAGAAGGAGTCTCACTCTGTTGCTAGGCTGGAGTGCAGTGGCCTGATGTTGGCTCACTGCAACCTCCATCTCCCGGGTTCAAGCAATTTCACTGCCTCTGCCTTCCCGGTAACCAAGACTACAGGCACGTGCCACTGCGCCCGGTTAATTTTTTGTATTTTAGTAGAGACGGGGTTTCACCGTGTTGGCCAGGATGGTCTCGATCTTCTGACCTTGTGATCTGCCCGCCTCAACCTCCCAAAGTGCTGGGATTACAGGAGTGAGCCACCACGCCCAGCTGTGCCTGGCTAATTTTTAAGCATTTTTTCTTTCTTTTTTTTTTTTTTAGAGATGGGGTCTTGCTATGTTGGTCTGGTCTCAAACTCTTTATACCCAAGTGATTCTCTCACCTCAGCCTCCCACAGTGCTGGGATTACAGGAGTGAGCCACACATTCAGCCTCCTCCCTCGTAATGGCCTTTTTTTTTTTTGAGGCAGAATCTGACTGTTGCCCAGGCTGGAGTGCAGTGGTGAGATCTCAGCTCACTGCAACCTCCCCCTCCTGGGTTCAAGCGATTCTTTCCCCAGTCTCTGGAGTAGCTGGGATTACAGGTGCCCATCACCTAACTCAGCTAATTTTTGTATTTTTAATGGGCTTCACCATGTTGGCCAGGCTGGTCTCAAACTCCTGACCAAAAGTGATCCTCCTGTCCCGGCCTCTGAAAGTGCTGGAATTACAGGTGTGAGCCACCACACCCAGCCAGTTAAAAAAATTTTTTTGTAGAGATGGGTTCTTGCTATGTTGGTCTCAACTCAAACTTCTTTTTTTTTTTTTTTTTTTTTTTTTGAGACGGAGTTTCGCTCTTGTTACCCAGGCTGGAGTGCAATGGCGCGATCTCGGCTCACCGCAACCTCCGCCTCCTGGGTTCAGGCAATTCTCCTGCCTCAGCCTCCCGAGTAGCTGGAATTACAGGCACGCGCCACCGTGCCCAGCTAATTTTTTGTATTTTTGGTAGAGACGGGGTTTCACCATGTTGACCAGGATGGTCTCGATCTCTTGACCTCGTGATCCACCCGCCTCGGCCTCCCAAAGTGCTGGGATTACAGGCTTGAGCCACCGCGCCCGGCCTAACTCAAACTTCTTATGCCCAAGCGATCCTCTCACCTCAGCCTCCCAAAGTGCTGGGGGTTACAGGGGTGAGCGACCTCACCCAGCCTCCTCCTCCCTGATAACTGTCATTCTGGTGTTTATAAAATAATAGCTCATTGTGGTTTTTATTTGCATTTCCCTAATAACTAACAGTATTGAGCGTCTTTTCATGAGCTTTTTGGCAGTTCACATATCTTCTTTGGAGAAATGTCAATTAAAGTCCTTTCTCCATTTAAATTTAATTAATTTTTCATAGAGTTGGGGTCTTACTATGTCATCCAAGCTAATCTGGAACTCTTAAGCTCAAGGGATCCACCCTCCTGGACCTTCCAAAGTGCTGGGATTACAAGCATGAGCTACTGTGCCTGGCCTGGCATTATTTTTTTCAGGTTTGAAATTTTGGGGTCCCTTGAGAAGAGTTTGTGGGCCCTGTGCCCTCAGCCTTGTAGGTAAAATGGCCCTAAGGAAGAGTATGGGGTGACCCTTCACTTCCGGGTGGCCTGCTTTGCTGTGTGGCTTTGGACACATCCCTTAACCTCTCTGGGCCTCCTCATCTGTAGGAGGAACCTGTTCCTTCTTTCAGTTCATTCATTCATCATTCATTCATTCATCAGGCGTCAGTCCAACCTTCACTCTTTCATCATCACCAGTGTTAGGGTGAGTTTTCCACGTTTTTCAGGTAAGGAAAAGTCCCAAGTTGAGGGGCTCAACAATTCATTAGGATCAGGGCTCCAGTTTTGCTCTGGGTGGTGGGAATACAGAGCTGTATGATGCTTTCATACAACAAACACCAGTGGAGAGCCCGTCTGTGTGCTGGGCTCTGAGGACCGAGGGGTGACCAAGACAGGCCCAGCTCTCCCTTCTGGTGCTCACAGCCTGGTGAGGGAGGTGGAAACACACATGAAACCCCACCATAAGGGGACAATTATCTAAAATGGCCAAAATTAATTACAGTGCTGTCTTAGGTTTTGCCATTATTTGTTGGGGGAACACAGATACCAAGGGCTGGTCCTGCTGTTTGTATGTGGGATGACTCTCTGGTTTGGGGGTGTCTTGGAAAAGTTAACCCTGCAACAGGCTCCAAGGTGAGCTATCTACCTTGGCCTTTTGCTAAGTGCCCTTCTCATTGCAGCTCAGACAGGCAGGGAGTGGGGAGGCGGAGAGGGGAGGAGAAGGCTTGGAGAATTCCAGCATACAGTCCAAGTCACACAGCCGGACAGGGATAGAGAGTGGACTCCCTCAACCTCACTGCCCAGAAGGGACAGCTGGTTACTGCATGTTGGCTGGAATAATAGTAACAATGTTGACAGGTTATATGGCCCGTGATTTGTTGGAAAAGGGTAACCTGGTATGAGATGGTATGAGATATAGATAATTTAAGTGATTTTTTTTTCTTTTTTCTTTTTTAAGAGACAGGGTTTCACCATCCTGGCCAGGCTGGTCTCAAACTCCTGACCTTGTGATCCACCCACCTCAGTCTCCCAAAGTGCTGGGATTACAGGCGTGAGCCACTGTGCCCTGCCTCGACGCTTTCTTTTTTTTGAGACAGTGTCTCTGTCGCCCAGGCTGAAGTGCAGGGACGCAATCTTGGCTCATTGAAACCTCTCCCTCCTGGGTTCTAGCGATTCTCGTGCTTCAGCCTCCTGAGTAGCTGGGACTACAGGCACGTGCCACCACGCCTGGCTAATTTTTTTTTAATTTTTTTTTATTTTTTAGTAGAAACAGGGTTTTGTCACATTGGCCAGGCTGGTCTTGAACTGCTGACCTCGAGTGATCTGATTGCCTCAGCCTCCCAAAGTGCTGGGGTTACAGGCGTGAGGCACCACACCCAGCCTCAATGCACGCATTTCACAGATGCGCCTAGTGAAGTCCAGAGAGGGCTGTTGGAAGCATCAGAGGCTGCACAAAACATCAGGCAGCACCAGGGCCCTGAGCCTCCATTTTCCAACCTGGAGGTTGGGAATGGAGGTGAGCAGGAAAAGAGGCGGTTGTTCCCTATTCAGGCCCCTCTGCTTCCCAGGCCCCCAGCCTCTTTCCTCCAGTCAGTCAGGCAGATTCCCGCGCACCGTAGTTATGTTTGCTAGTTTCCATGGACACGCGTGGCCTCCTAGGAAACCCTTTCCGGAGACTGGGCACGAGAGGAGGGGTTTGCATTCATTTGCATGTTAGGCCACGCCCAGAAGGTGTGCCATCTCATTCTGACGCTAGGGGGCGCCAGAGGCCAAACCCAGCAGTTCCTCTGCCTAGCGAGCACCTGCTCCGCCTTCTCCGCTGACCTGCCTGGGAGGACCTGGCTTTAAGGTTCAGATAAGGGAAGTGATCTCACAGTCAGAAAGCGAGGAGATAGTTTTAGATTGGAGTTTTTGATTTCTATATTCTGCTGTCTCCCCTGATGATGCCCCGGGTCTACGAGGGACAGAGGAGACCTGGGAGACCTGGCTCCTGCTGGCAGCCCGGGACCCCAGCGCGCGTGGTACCAAGTATTGAAATGCATCCCCTGTAACATAGAAATGTGCTGTTAAAGGATTGTGATTTTGCGTGTGAAGTATGTGGGCAACTTAGCGTTTTCAGTACGTTTGCTCTATTTTAGTTTGCATTTTCTCATTTTTGGAGCCACTAACTACTCCTCCTCAGCCAGGTCTCAGAAATATTTATAAAGAAAAATTAAAATAAAATAAATAAAAAAATACAAAAAAAGAGAGAAATATTTAGAGATCCTTGAAAAGCTCTCCCTACTTTATCGCCCTGGCCGGAGGCTCAGATGCGCACCTGGAAGACCAGAACAGACCCCTGGGGGTGAGAGGACGTCTCAGGACTGAAAACCCCCTGCCACTCGCTCCATCCCAGCTCCCACCCTCCTCAGCATGGAGATCAGAACGGACTCCCCAGGTCCTGTCCCTCTTCTCCCTGGGGATCTCATCACAGCCCCTCTGCCCTGAGCCCTCTTGGGGGTGAGCTCAGAACCGACATCACCCTCCCCCTCCCCACTTCGCGTCCACCCCTCTTGATCATGGGAGTTCAGAACAGCCCCGCAACCTCGCGTGCCCCCAGAGGAGTGCTCGAAACCCAGACAGTCCTCTGCATGCTCCCACACCGAGCTCCGTCCCGCCTTACTCCTGCGGAGATTTCGGACAATCCCCTCCCCCTCCCCTCGCCTCTGTTCCCAAGAGGCTCATTACGGAATCCCCTCCCGTGGCCTGCCCACCTGGGGCAGAGGAGGACTCAGAACAGCCTCCCCACTTCCATCCAGCCCTCTCTCCCCGCAGTGGGGGGCGGGGTTTTCATAGACGCGCCGCCCCTCCAGCAGTCTTCCCCAACTACGGGGTCACAACAGCCCCGCTCGGCCCCGCCCTCCACCCTGGCCCCCTACCCCACATCCCCGCCCCCACGCCCTCCCAGCTTTCTACCTCTGGGGTGGAGGGTTCGTCACTAAACCCCAACTCCTCCACCCTAGGGGGTCATAACAGCTCCCCTGGGCCTGCTCTCCGCCCGGGCCCCACCCCCCACCCCCATGCCGATCTCTTGCGGAGGCGGGGCGGGGGAGGAGAGTTTCTTTTTGTTTTTTGGGGGACAGGATCTCCCTCTGTCGCTCAGGTTGAGGTGCAGTGTGTAGTGGTGCGATCGCGGTTCACTGCAGCCTTCTGGGCTCAAATCCATCCTCCCACCTCAGCCTCCGGAGTAGCTAAGCCACAGGCGCGTGCACCACGCCCGGCTAATTTTGAATTTTTGTAGACTCGGGGTCACCCTCTGTTGTTTAGGCTGATCTCGAACTCCTGGGCTCAAGCGATCCTCCCGCCTGGGCCTCCCCAACTGCTGGGATTACAGGCGTGCGGGGGTGGGGCGCGGGTGGAGGTTCGTCAACACACTCCACTCCTCTCCCCTCTCCTCCGCTGTCGGGGGTCAGAACAGCCCCCCTGCCCCGCCCTCCTCCCCTCCCCCTCCCCCTCCCCCGGGGTCGCGCCCGCCTCGCGCCGCCTTTTCCACGCGGTACTTGCGGCGGCGCAGGCACTCGGTGAGGCTCCGAGGCTCCTGGTCCTCCAGGTCCTCGGGCAGCAGGAAGTTGCGGTCCAGCACCTCGGCCGCCTCCTGCCAGTTGGAGAAGCAGGCGGTGCCCAGGCGCTGGATCTCGTCGGCCCCGTCGCGGGTGAGCACGTCCCCGTCCGGCTTGAGCACTACGACCGCCGGCAGGCGCTCCACGGAGAACTGGCGCCCGAGGTCCCTGTGGGGCGGGCAGATCAGTCTGGGCTGTTCCACATCCCTGATCTTGAACCAGAGAGCCCCACGTCCAGCCTCCCAGTCCTTAGGCAGCCCTTCTGTGTGCACTGTCTCTTGCCTGGCACCGGGTGGGTGCAGACGAGGACCGGGACAGGGCCAGACACTGTGGTCCCCGAGCTATGCCTCCATCACCCCAGGCATGCTGCAACCTCGGGGCGTTTGCACTGCCTGTGCCCTGCGTCTGGAGAGCTCTCCTCAGACTTTCGCAGGTTAAGACCTTGTAGTGGCCGGGCGTGGTGGCTCACGCCTGTCATCCCAGCACTTTGGGAGGCCGAGGCGGATGGACCACGAGGTCAGGAGATCCAGACCATCCTGGCCAACATCGTGAAAGCCCGTCTCTACTAAAAACACAACAATTAGCTGGGTGTGGTGGCACATGCCTGTAATCCCAGCTACTCGGGAGGCTGAGGCACGAGAATGGTTTGAACCCAGGAGGAGAAGGTTGCAGTGAGGTGAGATCCTGCCACTGCGCTCCAGCCTGGGCAACAGAGCAAGACTCCATCTCAAAAAAAAAAAAAAAAAAAAAGAGAGAGAGATATTAAGCAGGGTAAGGGGTTGTTGGCTAGAGAGCATCTCTCCTAGGAGGTAGTCTCTGAGCTGAGAGCTATGGGATGAGGGGGGCTGGAGAACTGGGGGAAGGTGTCCCAGGAAATTACGCATAGGACATGCAAAGGCCCCGAGGTGGGATGATCATGGAGTACAGCCCTGATCATGCAGGCCATGCGGGGTCATGGTAAGGAGTTGCAATTTTGTTCTTTTTTTCTTTTTCTTTCTTTGTTTCTTTTTTTTTTAGAGACAAGGTCTCGCTATGTTGCCCAGGCTGGAGTGCAGTGGCTATTCACAGGCGCGATCCCACTACTGATCAGCACGGGAGTTTTGACCTGCCCCGTTTCCGACCTGGGCCGGTTCACCCCTCCTTAGGCAACCTGGTGGTCCCCCGCTCCCGGGAGGTCACCATATTGATGCCGAACTTAAGTGTGGACACCCGATCAGCATAGCGCACTACAGCCCAGAACTCCTGAGCTCAAGCGATCCTCCTGCCTCAGCCTCCCGAGTAGCTGGGACTACAAACATGCGCCTTTTTTCTTTTTCTTTGAGACAGCATCTTGCTCTGCCACCCAGGCTGGAGTGCAGCGATGCAATCATAGCTCACTGCGGCCTCGACCTCCCAGGCTAAAGCAATCGCCTGGCCTCAGCCTTCTAAGTAGCTGAACTACAGGCTCGCATCATCACACCTGGGTAATTTTTAAATTGTTTTTTAGAGTCTGGGTCTCACTATGTTGCCTGAGCTGGTCCCAAACTCCTGAGCTCATGATCCTCCTGCCTCAGCCTCCCAAAGGACTGGGATTACAGGCACAAGCCACGGTGCCCAGCCTCAATTTTGTTCAAAGTCTTGAGGGAAGCCAATGGGAAGCTCTCCACATCCCTAGGAGACCCTGCACCAAACCTCCCGTCTAGGCCCTAGTCCTACACACTCCCACCCTCTCATCCTGGAGTAGAGGCAGCTGCCAGACTGGACCTATCACCCAGAATTCGGATTTTTTTCCCATGATCTTAAACTCCTGAGCTCAAGGGATCCTCCCATCTCAGCCTCCCAAGTAGCAGGGATTACAGGTGCCGGGCTCAACCCACGGTTCTTTACTTTTGTCTTATAATTAATTATATATATTATTTATTTACTTAAATTTTTCTTTCTTCCTTTTGTTTTTGTTTTTGTTTTGAGACGGAGTCTCACTCTGTCACCCAGGCTGGAGTGCAATGGCACAATCTCGACTCACTGCAACCTCCATCTCCCGGGTCCAAGCAATTCTCCTGCCTCAGCCTCCTGAGTAGCTGGGATTACAGGTGTCTGCCACCACACCCGGCTAATTTTTTGTATTTTTAGTAGAGATGGGGTTTCACCATGTTGGTCTCAAACTCCTGACCTCATGTGATCCACCCGCCTCGGCCTCCCAAAGTGCTGGGGTGACAGTGTGAGCTACTGTGTGTACGCTATTTTTTAATTTTGGTTTTTGGGACGGAGTTTCCCTGTTGCTGCCCAGAGTGAAGTGTAATGTGGGATCTCAGCTCACTGCAACCTCTGCCTCCTGGGTTGAAGCAATTCTCCCCCCTCAGCCACCCGAGTACCTGGGATTACAGGCTCTCGCCAACACAGAGCAGCCTCCCTGGGATTATACCTGTTGGCTACCGCGCCGTTTATTTTTTTGGGAAGTCTTGCTGTGTCACCAGGCCAGAGTACAGTGGCCCAATCTCGGCTCACTGCAACCTCTGCCTCCCAGTTTAAGTGATTCCCCTGCCTCAGCCTCCCAAGTAGCTGGGATTACAGGCTCTCACCACGACGCCTGGCTAATTTTTGTATTTTTAGTAAAGACAGGGTTTCACCATGTTGACCAGGATGGTCTCGATCTCTTGACCTTGTGATCCACCTGCCTGGGCCTCCCAAAGTGCTGGGATTACAGGCGTAAGCCACAGCACCCAGCCACACTTTTTATTTTTGAGACAGCGTCTTGCTGTGTTGCCCAGGCTGGAGTGCAGTGGTAGATCTCAGCTCAGTGCAACTTCTGCCTCTCGGGTTCAAGCAAGTCTCCTGCCTCAGCCTCCCAAGTAGCTGGGACCACAGGCATGCGCCACCATACCCAGCTAAATTTTGTATTTTTAGTAGAGACGGGTTTCACCATGTTGGCCAGGCTGGTCTCGAACTCCTGACCTCACGTGATCTGCCTGCCTCAGCCTCTCAAAGTGCTGGGATTACAGGGGTGAGCCACCATGCCCGGCCTTGCTATTACATAGTCGAGTCTCTCTTTTGCACCTATTCCTCTCACTCAGCTATAAGCTCCCTGGGGTGGCATGGAAGCCAGCACATGGAAGTGGGCACCCCCTAGTCCCCAGTATATGGACTGGCACACAGGGTCTGCTTATTCACTCCAGTCAGAACGGATGATTCACGTTCAGTGAACATGCCCCCTCCTCCAGGAAGCCCTCCCCACCCCTCCTCACCTCCTCAGATCATCCTCAAAGGGCAGGAAAAGCCACTTCTTTGGCATGTCCTTGAGGAACAGGTCCTGCTGCTCCTCTGTGGGGTCCTGGGACACATACACCAGGGCCAGCTGCGCCGCCCGCAGCACATAGAACTCATCTGTGAGCCTCACAAAGAAATCCTTGAGGATGGGCACGAAGGCCTGGCACTGCGGACAAGCCCCGGCGCCGAAGAACAGCAGCACCAACCGGTTCTCCAGCCTGCGACTGACCTCGGCCTCCGTGTCCAGCTCGTCCTGGTCACTGTTGTTTCGGATGAGGACACGCCCAGAGAACAGGGAGGCCATGGTAACCCGGGCTGGGTGCTGGGGACAGCGCGGCCGTGCGGTCCCCGGTCTGCTGACTGGCTCCTCTCCCAGAAATAGAACTCTTGAGGAAGCCAGCTTAGGACCTCACTAATCTTCCTAAACCTTAACCTGAGGGGCCTCTAAGGGCAGGGGGCAGGGCTCCCTGTGTGGCCCTTCTCAAGAGAGAGCTGCAAACGTATTAAGAAAAACAGGTAACAGACGGGCATGGTGGCTCACGACTGTCATCTCAGCACTTTGGGAGGCGGAAGCAGGCAGATCGCTTGAGCCTGGGGAGTTGGAGACCACCAGCCTAGGCAACAGGAGACTGTCTCTACAAAATATACAAAAATTAGTCAAGTAGGGTGGTGTGCACCTGTAGTCCCAGCTACTTGGGAGGCTGAGGTAGAAGGATTGCTTGAGCCCGGGAAGTTGAGGGTGCAGTGAGCTGAGATCACGCCACTGCACTCCAGCCTGGGCATCAGAGAGAGACACTGTCTCCAAAAATAAAACAAGAAAAAGAAAGCCAGGAACAGTGGCTCATGCCTGTAATCCTAGCACTTTGGGAGGCTGAGGCGGGTGGATCACCTGAGGTCAGGAGTTTGAGACCAGCCTGACCAATACGGTGAAACCTCCATCTTTAAAAAAAAAAGAAAGAAAGAAAAAGAATCCCTACTGCGATGGGCATTTAAAGTTGTCTGGGAGAAAATTTTCCCTCCTACAGAGCGCTTGTATTCTACTTAGAGTGAAACCCCCACACCATGATCTTGTGAAATTTTATTTCGATATCGCTTATTTTCTTTTGTTCTTCCTGAAATTTCCAAAACATCTTTGCTGTGGCAGTCCCTGCGATCACCCAGGGGAGGGCCCATTGGGAGTCTGAGCACAGTGGGTAATTGATAAATGTTTATTGGCCAGATGTTGTGGCTCCTGCTTGTAATCCCAGCACTTTGGGAGGCTGAGGTGAGTGGATCACCTGAAGTCAGGAGTTCAAGACCAGCCTGACCAACACGGTGAAACCCCATCTCTACGAAAAAATACAAAATTAGGCCGCAAGGTGAAATCCAGTCTCTACTAAAATTAGGCCAGGCGTGGTGGCTCATATCTGTAATCCCAGCACTTTGGGAGGCCAAAGCAGGTGGTCACCTGAGGTCAGGAGTTTGAGACCAGCCTGGCCAACATGGTGAAACCCTGTCTCTACTAAAAATATAAAAATTAGCCAGGTATGGTGATGCATGCCTCTAATCTGAGCTACTCGGGAGCTGAGAGGCAGGAGGACTGCTTGAACCTGGGAGGCAGAGGTTGCAGTGAGCCGAGATTGTGTTACTATACTCCAGCCTGGGCAACAGATCAAGACTCTGTCTCAAAAAAAAACAAAAACAAATTAGCCAGGCATGGTGGCAGGTGCTTGTAATCGCAGCTACTTGGGAGGCTGAGGCAGCCTGTAATGCCAGCTCTTTGTTTTGCTTTTTTCTTTTGAGATGGAATTTGTGCTCTTGTCGCCCAGGCTGGAGTGCAGTGACTCAATCTTGGTTCACTGGAAACTCTGCCTTCCACGGTCAAGCAATTCTCCTGCCTCAGCCTCCTGAGTAGCTGGGATTACAGGTGTGCTCCACCATGCCTGGCTCATTTTTGTATTTTTAGTAGAAACAGGGTTTCGCCATGTTGGTCAGGCTGGTCTTGAACTCCTGGCCTCAAGTGATCTGCCCTCCTCAGCCTCCCAAAGTGCTGGGATTACAGGGGTGAGCCACTGCACCTGGCCTGTCCTCAGCTTCTTTACCTGTCAAATGATCACAGTAGTGCTACCTGGCCAGGTAAGAGTGCAGCTGTAGTTATTGGTCATTGCTGACTCTTCAGGGCCCAGAAAGCGACAGGCCAGTGGCTGGCTCTGGGCTTGTCCTCCGAATCTTCCTCGTGGTCCCCCATTCCAGCCACCCAGCTGCCAGCAGGGACCAATGGCAGCGTAGGGGGTGAGCGCCTGCCCAGCCCTGTCTTCCAAATGCATTGGAACCAGGCCCTGGGCGGCCTCCCAAGGAGAACGCTGGAAAGGTCGGCCAAGCAGGGCAGAAAACAAGCAGTGGTGGAGTCGGCAGTGGGGCAGAGGAGGGGGAGCTGGAAGGGAAGAACCGCAAAGCAGAAGCCCGCACAGTGGGTACATCGCACCCAAGAGGGGCCCAAGAGTCTGCAGAAACAGAAAGGTTCCCGGCCTCAGACTCCTAGTCCCTGCCTGCCTCCTGTCTGAGCTTCTGGGAGACTGAAGGCACCGCTTGCAGCTTAAGGTCAGCCGAGAACAGGGTTGTGGGTGCCCCCACGGCAGCGCTAGCCCGCGCTGGGGGGAGCATCTAGGACCCTGGGGTGAAAGTAAAGGACCTGTGGGTGCTTCTAGGAAGGATGGGGACCTGGCGTATGGATTTTGTCCTCCCTGGGATCTTGGGGTGTGACGTTGAGGCTTAACCGACTAGGCTTCGGGACGTGGATTAAGAATTAGCTGTGTCCTTAAATTACACGTTTAAGACCGCGGCGGGGTTTACAATTAGAAACTTCTGAGGCTCCGAGGTTTGAGTTGAGCACTCCCCGGGGCTCTGAAATGTGTTTTTAAGACCGAAAGAGGCTTTGGGGCTTGCATTTAGGACAAACTAGGGCAAGAATCCAGCCCAGCGGGCCGTGGCATATTTTTGGTCCCCGGGCGTAGGTATCCTGCACGTCGCTTAGGGCTCCGGTCCTGCGATGTTGTGAGCTACGCCCCACAGCTGCAAGACGCGCGCGTTTCCTTGAGGAGGCGGGGCAAGGCTTGGTTGTCATGGAGACAGCGGCCGTCCCAGGTGCGCCGTTCTAGCCCCCACATCTCGTTGGCCGTCGCCTCTCTGGCCCAGTTGCCTCTCTATGGTCGTGGCTTCTGGAAGAGGGTCCTCCTCGGCTCTGCGGGCTGAGCCGGAGTGAAACCCAGGAGGTGGTGACCCGGCCAAAGCCTGAGGGCGGGGCTCGTGGCCAGGATAGAACCTGAGCCCAGGAACATGGTCTAGGCCCGGGACTGGGGTGGGGCTTGAACGGACGCGGGCGGGGTCCAGTTCCGGGAGGGCGGGGCGCGTGTGGGGGTGGGGCCATGGATCTAACCTAGGGGTGGGGCCTGGCTAAGAGGGGCGGGACTCTGAGGGAGAGGTCTTGTGCCTGTGCGTGGGGCTAGGAGCCAAACTGAGGGCGGGGCCCAGTGACTGGCGAGAAGGCCACGGGTAGAGACAGGACCAGGAGGACAGGGGACAGAACGTGAAGGGAAATTCGAAAATTAAGGTTAGAGGCTAGGTGAAGGCACGTGGCTAGGCCTGACAGTGACCGACAGAGTGGACAAGCTGACTCTGGGGGCGGGGCCTGTTGTAAGATTGGCAGGGAAGGATGGGCTCAAAAATATGTGATAGAGCGGAGCCAAGGTCCGGGGGCGGAGTCTGGCCGGAACCTGGGCAATTCCAGGCCTGGGGGCGGGGTCTGGTTCTAGTTAGGGGGCGTTAACTAGAACTGGAAGGGGGACGGTGCCTGGCCTGAGGACCTGATCAATCTCAGGCCTGGGGGCGGAGTCTGACTCGGAGCACGCTTCCCGGACTCGCGGGGGACGGAGCCGAGTCCTGGGGGCGGGGCTTGCCCTAGGGATGGGGCGGGGCCGGTGGTGGGGCGGAGCTTGAGAGGCCCGCGGCCTCAGCGCTCTCTGCCTCCCCAGGATGCGGGCTCCGGGTGCAGGCACGGCCTCGGTGGTCTCGTTGGCGCTGTTGTGGCTGCTGGGGTTGCCGTGGACCTGGAGCGCGGCAGCGGCGCTTGGCGTGTACGTGGGCAGCGGCGGCTGGCGCTTCCTGCGCATCGTCTGCAAGACGGCTAGGCGAGACCTCTTGTGAGTGTTGAGGGTATCCGGCCAGGGCCGGGGGCGGGGCTGAGGGCTCTAGGGCGCACGGTGGGGGGACTGGATTGCAGGGACAGCTTAGAGGGTCCGGAGAGTTGGGGGTGCTTTGTAGTTTGGGGGCGGGGGCGGGGATGGGGCCTGAGTGACCAGTTGGGGGGCCCTGAGCGGACTGCAGGGGACACTTTAAGGGTTTCTCGGGGGAGACGAGTAGCTTCCAGGGTCTTGGGGTGTTGCAGACTGCTTAGGAGATCTCAGGGTATTTGAGGGGCAACTTGGGGGTCTTTGGGCAGCTGGTGGAAGTTCCAGGGAGCTGGGGCTGATTGGAAAGCTGTGGCGGTGTGGGGTCTCTTTGGAGCCTTGATGACTGTGAGAGACTTCTGGGGGCTCTCCAGTGGGTCACTGGGGCTCACAGGGATGACCCAATAGATAGTCTACGGGGACTGCCAAGACATTTTGGGTCTATCTAGGGCTTTCTCTGAGGGGTGAGCGAGCTGTTTAGGAAATCTATAAAGGACTTGCAGGGTCTCTGACGGTGTGTCGTTCCTCGGGACCGTTTAGAGCTGGGGCACTGTGTGAGAGTTTCGAGTGTGTGTGGGACTTTGGGACTGAACCCATTGTAAGGGGGCGCAGAGGGTGTGGAGATGGGAAGGATCCCACTGTAAGTTGACTGGTTCTGAACTTTCCTTTTTTTTGAGATGGAGTCTTGCTCTGTTGCCAGGCTGGGAGTTGTTCAGAGTGTGTAGGGAGGCTGCTGTGTATTCCGGGACTTGATTGGAGGTCTCTTCTGGAGACTGGGAACTGGGGTCAGGCTAGGGGGGCAGATTCTGGTGTCCTGGGCAAGTATGCTTGGAGGGTTTCTGCGGTGTCTCTGAGGTACTTAATCAAATGAGCCTTTGGGGGTCCTTCTGGGGTGAAACAGGCATTGCTGGAAGTTCCTATCAGAGCAGATCTCAGGAACAGCCCCACATGGGAGCAGGTAAGCACTGGCTGAGTGGGGACAGGATTCAGCACTGTCATAGTTCCTTGTAAGATGGACTTGCAAGAGGGACTGAACCCATTGTAAGGGGGCGCAGAGGGTGTGGAGATGGGAAGGATCCCACTGTAAGTTGACTGGTTCTGAACTTTCCTTTTTTTTGAGATGAAGTCTTGCTCTGTTGCCCAGGCTGGAGTGCAGTGGCGCAATCTCGGCTCACTGCAACCTCTGCCTCCCGGGTTCA